TCCCAAATTGTTTCAATTCGGGTTTCGAGATTTCTTTTGAGCAAAAACATGAAGATGGGGCAGTTATAAGAGCAAAAATATTAAGAGAAAATTACTTTAAAAAAAACTGCAGCATTTTGCGGTCGCTGCTCTCAAGCTCGCCAACAACGCAAGTGAAACGCTCAAAAACGCAACCGGTTTTTCAGAACTTTTAAGCCCGCGATCAGCCTGCCTTTGTCCGCTACTTCACTTGCAGTTTTGAATGGTGCTCGCAGTTTTCTAAACAGTTTTCTTTCTTTTTGTTTGCATACCATCAGAGAGTTGCTATTGTTTTCAGAGGGTTGCAATTATTTTCAGCGGGTTGCTATTATTTTCCTGTTGATTGCGGGCCTAATCCAATTAGCAACAACACAATAGCCGGCTGGCCAATTTTCAAGCTAGCTTTTTTGCTACCAAAGCAAAAAAAATGTTCACTGCTGATTTCAGCGGAAAATCACTCATCCCGAAATTTTTCTCTTTGTATTAACTTTCTTTCTCTTTGTGTTAACTTTCCGTCTCTCTTACATAGATCAATTGCCACTTTATAAAAATAGCTTCTATTCTCTAGGGTATCATTCAATGGGCTGGAAAGCTAAAAAACTCACTTTAGAACCGCGAATCTGCCTTTGATAAATCACTTAGAAATTGTTTTCCCTGCAAAAAAGTTGGTGAAAGAAGAGTACTCAAAAATTTCATCCCAATTCATCGAAATTCGATGTTTTCGCGTCATACAGATTTATTGACTTCTTTATCGTGAGTTCTTTTGACAACTTATAGGTTCATTTCCTATGTTTTTTGAACATTTCTTATAAGCATATCTTTGCGATCAGCATAAAAACAACACAAAAAAACCTCGTAGCAAAAACTTCTCTCAGCTTCACAAATTGATCTGAGAATTTCATTTTTCCAAAAACATTACAATTATAACTAATTGGCTATAAGCAGATAACAGAAATTTAATTCAGTTTTTGGACTTAATTTTTTGATTGCTCATAGGCGGCAACATTTTAAATTCAACTCGAAAACCTTTCGGGTTATTGTCCAAAACTACCCACTTTAAACCGTCCCTTTCAAAGGAACTTTGCAATTGAACAAATTGAATTAAATGGTTTATCGACTAGTTTGTTGTTTGTGTTGGCGCATTTGTATTTGTGGTGTATTACTAAAGTTCAATAGGGGATATAACACCTATCACCACATATGAGACTTTTAAGTTCCGTCTACCGCGATTGCAGAGAAGACAACATCTACGACGACAGACTATTTATCATTTTTTAAAGGTGAGAAATAGTGGTCTATTTAGCACATGTGTCAATTGGCAAGCTAATGTCTAATTTAACCGCTTAAAATTGAAAACCTTCTGCAATTTTTTTGAAGACATATCAAGAAACGACCCCCCCCCCGCCCCAACTTCGCACAAGCGTCAATTTTACAGTGTAACAAGGGTAAGTATGAAGATGAATTCGCATTTCGAGACTCCCGGTTTGGGAGGTGGGGGGTGAAGAAAAGAGCCCAGTAGTTTTTCAATTGAAATAAGGATAGCCGGTTACAGTGCAATATTCACCAGTCACAAAAAATACGCAAATTGGATAACAGTTTTTGTAGAAAAAGGAATTTAAAAAAAAACGTTAAAAAATCGAAAAAAAATTTCAACAGAATTTTTTTTGCAGAAACTTTTTATATTTTGTTAAAAAATTGGAAGGTTTTTGATTCCCAAAATGGCGCAAACAAACTCCAAAAACAAACTTTACTCAAGTAAAACTAAGTTTTCACGGCTTAAACTAAGCATAAATAAGCTAGCTTAAGCCTGTCTCGCTCACCTTGTTCGCTCGAAATAAGACCAGAAATCAAAATTTTGAAACGGGTTTTTCACGAGATTGAGAATTTTTTTTTGAAAAAATTTAAGGTCATTCGAATCACGACTGAAGGTTATATCACTGATATATCACCCGACACTATTAGCTGTTTATTTGTGCTACCTGATTTTGCGTGTAAAACAAAAAAAAATTAAAAAAAAAACTATAACACAAACGAATAGAAATTTCCTCCTCATTTTCATTAGTCGGAACAAATAAATCACGGCTCTTTCCCCCACCTGCAATTTTTTTATACAAAATAATGTTGTTCACATTGTCCGATCGTTACAAAAATTGGCATGCGGACTAATTAGGCTGGAACAAACATATGCAGTGTCCATAATTAACAGTGTAAAACCACTAGTTAATCCATAAATTTGATGATCATGCAAAGTTGGAGAAAACGAAAAACCCTAAATCAATTGAATCTAATTCAACAATCTAAAGAAACAAATTTTGCCCATTTTGTGTGTTCTAGTTTTACAAAAGCCCGTGAAATCAATTTGGTGAACTTAAAAAAAGAGGCGACAAATTTTCTGGAAAAATTCCTGAATTTGTTAAACCCCCCCTCAAAAAAATCATTGACACTCTCATGAAAACATGACGAAGATAAATATAGCTTGCTAAAGAACACACGCGCTATTTTCAATCCACAACTTTCAAGGTTCATCTTGAGAATCATATTTGCAATTTTTGATTTCTGCAAACTGTCCGCTTTAATTTCCTTTATTATTATCATTTGCATCGCCTGCGCCAGGACGCTTTACTTTTTCTGCATTCGTCATATTTTCGACCTATCCGGGATAAATTACGCGCCGATGAATATTCATCATAATAATCACCTACACCTTCGCTCTGTGCGCCAGGGTTAAAAAAGTCTACCATTTCTTTATGTCTGAGCCACTTTATTTGATGGCTGATTACTTCAAAGACGCGACTGAAAATGCCCAATTTTAAAAGCAGCTTTTATGATTTCCAGCAGTTTATGATTTCCAGCACTTCAATAAAGTTCAATTCTTCGAGAAAGCATGATTGTGCCGCAAATATCTAAATTAAATCTTTTATCTGAATGTTATTTTTCGTTCTTTTATAATTAACTTATTTGTTGAATTTTGACTGAATTAATTAGCTCACTTTCTTTATTCTTATTTTGTTATATCTTTGCTCAGTTCTGCCCTGGGCTGGATTTGATGACAGCTTGAAATGTGAGAAAAGTCATTTCGGAAACTTTGATTGAAATATCTAGATTATTCAGCCCGAGATTACATGCCGACAAAAGTTGAGATTTTTCCGAATGTGACTTCAGAATTTAAGTTAAGGCACGAAACATAAGGTGGTTAGGTATAGATTTAGACATTTGGTCGTTAGGACGTATCCAGGGTTTTCTCGAGGGGGGGGGGAGCGGGTTTTCAAAAAGCTTTTTTTTTCGGCGCGCTTCCCTTCAACAGTAGAATATATTGGCGCCAAAGGCGCCTTTAGAAAATTTGAGGTTGGTCAGCCAAAAATGGATGTCATAAAATAATACCGAAGGGGGGACGCTTTGGGTTGGTAGTGTCAAATTCCTGAGAGGGGCGTCTGCGCCAAGAGTTTGGTACCCCACCCTATATCCGCCCCTAGGGAATAGTGTAATGTTAAGAAGACGCGTTTTCCGCATCAAAAAATTTATTGCAGGTATTTTCATGTGAAAGATGTTATTTTTTTGTCATTAATCATTAAACAATTTTCGATGCCAAATCAACCAAAAATTTCTGTTAACCATGTTCTATAACTTCCTTAAAGTATAAGAAAAGTGCTTTGCTGGCAACGCTTGCCCTACTGAAAATTAGTTTTTTTTTAAATCTTAAATTGCCGAACTACTGTGCGTATTATTCTCAAGTGTTAGTCATATTAATGTTTAATACAAAAAAAATTGAACGGCAGACAAAAAACAAAAGATTTTTTGGCTATTTTGTCTCCCCTCACCTGCAGTTTTATTAGTAATTTTGGATCAAGTTAACATCCTCCCCCACACACCCCATCTCCCCAAATAAACCAAGTTAAGATCTCCACCCCAGCATTCAATTTAAATCAAATTTGCTAAGCGCTGCATGTAAAATGCTCTATTTTGGTTGGGTGAAATTTCGAGCTCAGGACAAAGTAACACCCTCCCCCTAAACGCCTCTCGTGGGAGGATTTTAGCTTGGTCCGTAATTTTTCTGTTCACCTTGCTCGTAACATCATGAAATTTTCTTTCGTGATTACTCGAAAAATTAAATCTCACCGACCATCTTTATCAACATTTTTTACGATTGCGCCCATTCAATAGACATATATTTTATAAATAAAATCTGTTTTCTTCAATGTTGTTTGTGAGTGGAGAGTTTGTATCTAAAGTTTGGTTTCTAGAAGAAAGTATTGTTAAGGTATTCACTGTACCAACATTGGAAATTGCCTCGTCGTCATTTAAAATGGAAGTTTTTGTATGAGGTTTTTCTTTTGCGTTTATCAAAATCTTTAAATGCCAATTTATGGCAGGTCATAAAACAGAGTTGAATTTTTTTTAAAAACTATATATGGTAAACAAAGAGACGATAATTAATGAGATAAAAATTATCGAAATAAATAGAAATCACTAATTGGTGAGTGAATCACTAATTTTTACTCTCACTCTATCGAGTGAATAATGGAGTGATTTGGCAAGTTGTAACTTTTCAGGCTAATCCAGAAGTTTTAGTTTAAATCAGGGAGTTTCACACTAACCCAGAAGTTCAACATTGAAAATTAGTTCACAATTTTTATTAAAATTACTGTAAAGAGCAAAAAATTCTCTAGAGTATATGTTTTTATTCGATTCAACTTGTAATACTAGTTTTTAGTTTTACTTTTAATGTCAAAAGGTCGCTGAACAATATTGGTAATTTTTCTGAAAGCAGGGTCGAATTTTTAAGTTTTCTGTAGTTTTTGGTTGCTATCGAGATGTTTTTCGAAGCAAGATATTTTTTGCGGCTCCGCTGGTGACTTCTTTTTTTTTCTTAAAAATTTTCGTCAAAGTTGACTTTTGAAAAAAAAAACAAATTTAATGCGACTGTTCTCTAGTTTTGACTTCTGTGTTGCCTTTTCTAGCTTTGACATCTGTGCTGTGTTTACTTTATTTAAAAAAATAACAGAATTATAACAGATAACAATAAGTAGAAGAAAACGGAAAAAAATAGAAGGAAACGTGAACACAAGTTCATGAAGCAGACAAAAATTAATGGTGAAACAATTGTCAAAGAATATTTCTATATTTTTTGTCTTCAAAAAAATTGCAACTAATTAGCCATCGAATATTTTTTCCTAAACTATAAAATTGAAAAGTTCAAAAAAAAGTTTTCTTGTAAAGATTTCTTGTTTATGAAAGTTCTCGTCCAATTTGATTTTCATAAAAATTGTACTGCGGGCCCACTATCAGGCCTTTTGCTCTCCTTGCTAGCAGAGTTTTTTCTGTAAAAAAAAAATAAAATATTTTTAACATACAACTAGCAACTATTCAACTAGCAACATTTTGTGTAAACGCACAAAAAACTTTCAGCTTGAAGTAATTAAAACTTGATATCCTGTATGCCTCGCTGGCTCATATTTGTTTAAGAAATCAGGATTTCTGTGCATCGTGTTTAGTAACAAAAGCATTAAAGTTCTGATCAATCTTAAGCAAAGCAAAAATAAACTTTAAGCGTAAACATTGAAATTCATGAAAGGAAACTATTGATTGAACAGTTCAATAGGATAGATTAATGTCTATATAAGCACCGTTATTGAATTTTTATGGAGTGCTGGCTCTTTCTTTTCCGACCATTATTAAGTAATATTTCATTAGAAAGCCCTTTTCGTAATGTGAGTAAATTAAAAAAACAATATGGAAAAGTTTTTTATGTATTAAGAAAAACCCGCTTTAAATTTCAATTTTTGGTCTAAGTTTAAGCAAATAAAATGAGCGATCGAAATGAAACGAGAGAAAAGTAAACTTTCGGAGTTTGTGTGCGCCATTTTGAGAATCAAAAACTTTAAAATTTTATTTTTTAAAATTCAAAACTTTTCTTTAAAAAAATTTGTTGAATTTTTTGTTCTGATTTTTAAAGATTTTTTTTCAATTTTCTATAAATTTTTTTTACAAAACTTGTTTTCCAATTTGATCTTTTTATTATGACTGTCGAATCTGCCTAAATTCTAGAAAACTCTTTTCAGGCTATGTTCGGAACATTCTGTGCTGTGCTACTTCACAGTAACGAGCTATCCTTGTTTCGCGGTATGTTAACTGTATGATTTGAGAAAAAAAAATCTCGCCGACCTGGACATTCTTCAAAGTTTTGAAGAAAGAAAGCTTTGGATAGTTGTTTTCGTCTCGTCATTTTTGACTGTTTAAAAAATTGTTTTTGACAATTTTTTTCAGCCATCTGATGTTTTGGTTTCAAACGTTGAAAAAAAATTTTTTGTTTCAAACGTTGAAAAAGAGAATTATGATAAAATAATCTAGAATTTCGATAATTATTAAACTTTTTGTTTCAGTCTTTTGAAATTTTAAAACTTTTTTCCGAAACATTCGAGCGCCAAAAATATAGAAAATTGAAATTGAGAGCATTGGTACTTTTGGATCCTTTTGGACAAATACTTGAGTGAATCATTTTGGATAATTTATATTATTTTTTATGCAAACGTGCAATTCAGCAACCGAAAACTGCAAGTGAGCCGAATCTTTTCAAAAACTGAAAACATTACGAGGCGAGACTGCATTTTGTGAAATCTACATCGGGCCGAAATAAGATTTGTCGCGGAATTCGCAACATTTCGGATCTCAAATACTGAAAAAATGAACGGCTTTCTAATATCAAATACTGAACGAATGAAATAAAAACAAAGGTAATTGTAATTGTTTCGTGGGTTAAAATGCTGAATTATTATTAAATATCATTTTTTCCAAAAACTAAACTGGTACATCCACGATTTTAGTTGGACATTGATTTAAAATTTGTTATTAGATTTCACTAAAAAAGGTCTCACAATAAAACTCTCGCTTTTTAATTCCAGATTTTCAAGATAACAATTCCAGCTATTGCTCCAAATTGTTCACGAAAGGACTGGTTCAGTTCGGTATCACAACTAACACTACAATCGTTATATTAGTTGAATCTGCTTATACTTGCGGAATCAGTTCATATTTTCAGAATCCGGAACAATTAGCTTTATTCACTCGTTGCAGAACTCGCAATAAAACTAAAGTGCCGACAAATTATACTTTACGCGGAAATCTTAGAATCTTAGAATTACGGAATCTACTTGCATATTTGACTATGTTTAAAGACTTGTGTCTGGAGTCCAGAAACATAGTGACACCAAATTGAGCGCTTATTCAGTGCACGGTTTGGCCTCGTAATGAAAGAAGAAAACATTTGCCTGAACCCATTTTAAATAGTATTAAAGGTAATCAAAGCATTCTTTCAGGTATTTGCTTTGATTTGGTTGGAGCTTTTCTCAGAAATTTTTGATAACCTAGATGTCATTGAATAAAACATCATATCCTTTTAACTCCCCGTTTTGCAAAAAGGAGATTCGTTACTCGGTACAAAATCTACTTAAGGTTAACCGTTGATTTAATTCATTATAGGGGTGACAGTTCGTTAATAGGTACCAAAAAGAGAGGCGGTGGGAATTAAAAAAAACATCCAATAGTACAAATGACAAAAACCTCCCTCTTGAGAGTTGAAGGGATAGAGCTATGAGCGCCGTATCCCTCCTTCTTCTAATATTGCACTCGAGAAAAAACAAAAAGAATTTAACACTTGAAATTGATATTATGTTTCAGTCAGCGGTGAATGAACCTCTTCAAATGATTTTGAGGATTTTCTCTCATTTCAGGGTAAGCAATGTTTCTGTAATTGTTTTATTATCTTGAATGTCAGAATAAGTTCAAAAGCGCTCCTTCTTAATGTAGTAACGTATCATCAATCTAAAAACAGCGCACCCAAAAGAGCTGTGCTTTTTTAACAAAACAGTTTGGATGGTGAATGCAACAATTTAAGCAGAGACGGCCTTACAATTTTTTTGAGAAGGGGGGTCGGCCCATTGACGCATTTCTTGAGACCGGTCATACTGTTCTCCATGCTCGTTGAGATTTTTAAAAAGTCTGTATTATGCCATAATTCGCTAATGAACTTAGGTAAGAAGGATGGGTTCTAGTTTGCGCTTCCAGGACGGGATCTATGCGGCCCTGTTGGCAGTCGGAACATTCTACCTCATTTTCTTCGTCTCCATCGTCCTCCTCATTTTCCTCAAATACATGGGGGAGAGGTGCGTGGGATCCTCCTCCTCCGGAACCCAACACCACCTGATGGGGGAGTCCAGGCCGGAGAGACCCAGAGACACAATACACCATATGCAACATCAACAGGTGAGACAGAAACGTTATAGGTATTAACAAAATTGTTTAAAAAATTCAAAAAAAAATCATGAAAAATTCAAAAAGTTTGATTAAATTTTCAAATTTTCTTTGATCTTTATGTTTTTATACTGCAGAAAATGCAATATAAATAATTAATCACGAATTGAGCATAAGATACTCAACACTTTGCAGCATGAATCAGGCTTGCACCTCTCGTGGGAGGATTTTAGCTTGGTCCGTAACTTTTCTGTTCACTTTGCCCGTCACATCAGGAAATTTTCGTTCGTGATTACTCGAAAAATTAAATCTCAACGACCATCTTTATCAATATTTTTTACAATTGCGCCCATTCAAAAGACTGCGTAAGGTATTCACTGTACCAACATTGGAAATTGCCTCGTCGTCATTTAAAATGGAAGTTTTTGTATGAGGGCTTTCTCTTGAGTTTATCAAACTCTTTAAATGCCAATTTATGGCAGGTCATAAGACAGAGTTGATTTTTTTTAAAACTATATATGGTAAACAAAGAGACGATAATTAATGAGATAAAATTTATCGAAATAAATAGAAATCACTAATTGGTGAGTGAATCACTAATTTTTACTCTTACTCTATCGAGTGAATAATAGAGTGAATTGGCAAATTGTAACTTTTTAGGCTAATCTAGAAGTTTTAGTTTAATTCAGGGAGTTTCAAACTAACCCAGAAGTTCAACATTGAAATTTAGTTCACTATTTTTATTAAAATTACTGTAAAGAGCAAAAAATTCTCTAGAGTATATTTTTTTATTCGATTCAACTTATAAGACTGGTTTTTTGTTTTGCTTTTAATGTCAAAAGGTCGATGAAAAATATTGGTAATTTTTCTGAAAGCAGGGTCGAATTTTTAAGTTTTCCAGAGTTTTTGGTTGCTATCGAGATGTTTTTCGAATTACGATTTTTTTGCGGCTAAGCTGGTGAATTATTTTTTTTTCTTATAAGTTTTTGTCAAAGTTGACTTCTGAAAAAAAATACAAACTTAAAAATTATTACAAAAGCGACTGTTTTGACTTTTGTTTTTTTTAAAGATTTTTTTTGTAAAGATTTCTTGTTTCTGAAAGAAAGTTCTCGTCCAATTTGATTTTCATAAAAATTGTACTGCGGGCCCACTATCAGGCCTTTTGCTCTCCTTGCTAGCAGAGTTTTTTCTGTAAAAAAAAATAAAATATTTTTAACATACAACTAGCAACTATTCAACTAGCAACATTTTGTGTAAACGCACAAAAAACTTTCAGCTTGAAGTAATTAAAACTTGATATCCTGTATGCCTCGCTGGCTCATATTTGTTTAAGAAATCAGGATTTCTGTGCATCGTGTTTAGTAACAAAAGCATTAAAGTTCTGATCAATCTTAAGCAAAGCAAAAATAAACTTTAAGCGTAAACATTGAAATTCATGAAAGGAAACTATTGATTGAACAGTTCAATAGGATAGATTAATGTCTATATAAGCACCGTTATTGAATTTTTATGGAGTGCTGGCTCTTTCTTTTCCGACCATTATTAAGTAATTATTTCATTAGAAAGCCCTTTTCGTAATGTGAGTAAATTAAAAAAACAATATGGAAAAGTTTTTTATGTATTGAGAAAAACCCGCTTTAAATTTCAATTTTTGGTCTAAGTTTATGCAAATAAAATGAGCGATCGAAATGAAACGAGAGAAAAGTAAACTTTCGGAGTTTGTGTGCGCCATTTTGAGAATCAAAAACTTTAAAAATTTATTTTTTAAAATTCAAAAATTTTCTTTAAAAAAACTTGTTGAATTTTTTTTCTGATTTTTAAAGATTTTTTTTCAATTTTCTATAAATTTTTTTTTACAAAACTTGTTTTCCAATTTGATCTTTTTATTATGACTGTCGAATCTGCCTAAATTCTAGAAAACTCTTTTCAGGCTATGTTCGGAACATTCTGTGCTACTTACACAGTAACGAGCTATCCTTGTTTCACGGTATGTTAACTGTATGATTTGAGAAAAAAAATCTCGCCGACCTGGACATTCTTCAAAGTTTTTGAAGAAAGAAAGCTTTGGATAGTTGTTTTCTTCTCGTCAGTTTTGACTGTTTAAAAAACTGTTTTTGACAATTTTTTCCAGCCATCTGATGTTTTGGTTTCAAACGTTGAAAAAAAAAATTTTTGTTTCAAACGTTGAAAAAGAGAATTATGATAAAATAATCTAAAATTTCGATAATTATTAAACTCTTTGTTTCAGTCTTATGAAATTTTTAAACTTTTTTCCGAAACAGTCGAGCGCCAAAAAATAGAGAAAATTGAATCTGAGAAAATTGGTACTTTTGGATTCTTTTGGACAAATACTTGAGTGAATCATTTTGGATAATTTATATTATTTTTTATGCAAACGTGCAATTCAGCAACCGAACACTGCAAGTGAGCCGAATCTTTTCAAAAAACTGAAAACATTACGAGGCGAGACTGCATTTCGTGAAATCTACATCGGGCCGAAATCAGATTTGTCGCGGAATCCGCAACATTTCGGATCTCAAATACTGAAAAAATGAACAGCTTTCTAATCTCAAATACTGAAAGAATGAAATAAAAACAAAGGTAATTGTAATTGTTTCGTGGGTTAAATTGCTGAATTATAAATAAATATCATTTTTTCCAAAAACTAAAGGGGTACATCCACGATTTTAGTTGAACATTGATTTAAAAGTTGTTATTAGATTTCACTAAAAAAGGTTAAACTCTAGCTTTTTAATTCCAGATTTTCTAGATAACAATTCCAGCTATTGCTCCAAATTGTTCACGAAAGGACTGGTTCAGTTCGGTATCACAACTAACACTACAATCCTTATATTAGTTGAATCTGCTTATACTTGCGGAATCAGTTTACATTTTCAGAATCCGGAACAATTAGCTTTATTCACTCGTTGCAGAACTCGCAATAAAACTAAAGTGCCGACAAATTATACTTTACGCGGAAATCTTAGAATCTTAGAATTACGGAATCTAATTGCATATTTGACTATGTTTAAAGACTTGTGTCTGGAGTCCAGAAACATAGTGACACCAAATTGAGCGCTTATTCAGTGCACGGTTTGGCCTCGTAATGAAAGAAGAAAACATTTGCCTGAACCCATTTTAAATAGTTTTAAAGGTAATCAAAGCATTCTTTCAGGTATTTGCTGTGATTTGGTTGGAGCTTTTCTCAGAAATTTTTGATAACCTAGATGTCATTGAATAAAACATCATATCCTTTTAACTCCCCGTTTTGCAAAAAGGAGATTCGTTACTCGGTACAAAATCTACTTAAGGTTAACCGTTGATTTAATTCATTATAGGGGTGACAGTTCGTTAATAGGTACCAAAAAGAGAGGGGGTGGGAATTAAAAAAAACATCCAATAGTACAAATGACAAAAACCTCCCTCTTGAGAGTTGAAGGGATAGAGCTATGAGCGCCGTATCCCTCCTTCTTCTAATATTGCACTCGAGAAAAAACAAAAAGAATTTAACACTTGAAATTGATATTATGTTTCAGTCAGCGGTGAATGAACCTCTTCAAATGATTTTGAGGATTTTCTCTCAATTCAGGGTAAGCAATGTTTCTGTAATTGTTTTATTATCTTGAATGTCAGAATAAGTTCAAAAGCGCTCCTTCTTAATGTAGTAACGTATCATCAATCTAAAAACAGCGCACCCAAAAGAGCTGTGCTTTTTTAACAAAACAGTTTGGATGGTGAATGCAACAATTTAAGCAGAGACGGCCTTACAATTTTTTTGAGAAGGGGGGTCGGCCTATTGACGCATTTCTTGAGACCGGTCATACTGTTCTCCATGCTCGTTGAGATTTTTAAAAAGTCTGTATTATGCCATAATTCGCTGATGAACTTAGGTAAGCAGGATGGGTTCTAGTTTGCGCTTCCAGGACGGGATCTATGCGGCCCTGTTGGCAGTCGGAACATTCTACCTCATTTTCTTCGTCTCCATCGTCCTCCTCATTTTCCTCAAATACATGGGGGAGAGGTGCGTGGGATCCTCCTCCTCCGGAACCCAACACCACCTGATGGGGGAGTCCAGGCCGGAGAGACCCAGAGACACAATACACCATATGCAACATCAACAGGTGAGACAGAAACGTTATAGGTATTTAAAAAATTGTTAAAAAAATTCAAAAAAAAATCATAAAAAATTCAAAAAGTTTGAACAAATTTTCATATTTTCTTTGATCTTTATGTTTTTATACTGCAGAAAATGCAAATTAAATAAATACTCACGAATTGAGCATAAGATACTCAACACTTCGCAGCATGAATCAGGCTTGCAAAACTGATCTGGACTATTTATACTACTCTGGTATGAATATAAAGTAATTTTAAGATTGGAGAGCGCGCCGAAAAAAAACGCAATTTATAAATCAGAATCACCAAGAATCCTAAAACCATTTACACAAACCAACCTGCTTCTCAGAAGAGGATTTAGGGAGGGCGCGGGGGGCGGGGGCGGGGGCGGACGTCTCCCCCCTCAGGGATTCGATCCCCTGCCGACCCAAAGGGTCCCCTTTGTACTATTTTGAGATATCCATTTTTGGCTGACTGACCTTAAAATTTTTCTAAAGGCGCCTTTGGCGCCAATATATACTAATTTTGAAGGGGGAACGCACGCCGAAAAAAAGCGATTTTTTGGTCGAAACTTTCCAAAAAAAGCCTAAAAACGCCTTTTTTTGGCCTTTTTTTGAAAATTTGCCTGCGGTGCAGAAAGTTTGGTCTAATTACGGTCTTTAAAGTGGCTGGGGATAGCTCAGAAAATCAATTTGGTCGACCTAAAAAAGGTCAACCAATTTTCAAAATTTTTTTGAAAATTCGCATCCCCCCCCCCCCCCCCCCCCCTCGAGAAACTCCTTCTCCCAGTCCTTCTGCTCCTCCTTCTACCACAGCAATTTAAGTGGGAGGGTGTTAAACTGGCTCTATGTTAAGTTTTTCAGCCGATCGGACATCAGCATTTTCCTCGCAGCGTATAAATTTTTAAAAATTTGTTTGAATATTTTTGTAGAAGATCTTATTTTGATCTCATCAAGACGTGGAAGTAAACTTGATCCAAATCCTATATCCACTAATGACAGTAGCCATAAATATCGATTTGAGTGTATCGTGAGGTGGGTTGCCTCACTTGATTAGACACACACACACACACACACACACACACACACACACACACACACTCACACACAAAAACATTTCGAACGACGCGTTCTATTTGTAAAGGTATTGGTTCAATCCTTGTAAAGGTATTGTTTCAGTCTAATTGATAAGGTATCGGTTCAACTTAATTGCAAAAGTAGGTTTCTGCGAAATAGGGATTAACCAATCAGCATTAGGTGTTTATTATTCATTGTTTTGTTAATTAGTATGTTTTCTTTTGGGTTATTTGATGTTCGGGTAAAGTTGAACATTTTGAAATGCCATTTCGAATTGCAATTCATCATTGTAATACTTGTTGAATCTCTTCAACAATCCCCCTATGGTACTTAGTAAAAAAAAATTGCCCCCCCCCCCCCCCCCCCCGTTGTAAGGACAAATCCAGCAATTATACATGCCAATATTGTACCTAGTGACTAATTCCCTCTTTTCAATAGGGGGATTGGGGTAGTTAGCAAAATCCCACCATCATAATAAAATTTATTTCAACAGAGTAAACTGATAAAGCGAACCTCATCTGTGGGCGGGGGGACTTCAAGTCGGGCGCACAAAGGGTGTCATCGCAGCCATGCAGGTACCTTCCAACTGGGCGCCATCCGAATCAAGTGACCCTTTTTTCTACATTTCTACTGACATCACTACAAGTGCTTTGACGCTTTGATTTTTAAGACAGAATCACATCTTAGTTGTGACTTTATTTTTTAAAAGGTTGTTGTGCAGTTTCGAAATGATGTGATGTATATTTTGTAGATATTTGTGTGTTTTTAATTGACAGAATTTTAATTAAATGACTTTAGGCATTAAGAGCCACGGCAGCCCCCCCCCCCCCCCCCCAAACATCATCATAAAGAGGCACCGTGCTGCCCCGCCCCCTCCCTGAATTCTGGTTGCCAAAGATTTCCAAAGGGTTCCCCTTTTCGAAATAATTTACGACGTCCAAATTTGGTTGACAGCCCCAAATTTTTCTAAAGACGCCTCTGGCATCAATATACACTAAGCTTGAGGGTAGAAGCGCACTGAAAAAATGCTATTGTTCGGTCAAAACTTCAGAAGGAGGAACATTTACTCAACGAAGCCATGAATGCTCAGTGCGGTGCCCTTTCGAGTCGTTATCAAATTTAAATATAAAAACAGAGAGATCGTTTTGTTTTTAAATCAACCAATTCATAGTCGGCACTTAACTCTTTGAAACAAGGGTAGCCAGTTGCTTCACAAGTTTACAAGATATTAAGGAATAAGAATATTGAAAAATGTTAAATTTGTGATATGCAAACTTTCCATCGTTTCTTAGATATTGGAATGGGGTTGAAGGAATTAATATATTTCTAGATTAATCTAACAGTATGTGAATATACATTCTGACCACATAAAATACACAGAATATTCCATAATTACAGCTAGGAACAGAATGTACCGACCACAGTTAATCAAACCGAAATATTGAAGAATTAGGAAATGAAAAACGTCGAATTTTTTATATCCAAATTTTCCTTTGTTTGATACCTAGCATATCTGAGATATTAAGTTTTGAAGAGCTGCGCGTTTTCTTTGAGGTACTTAACTTTGCGAAGAAAAAACATGAGCTTTAGTTTCTTTCGCGAGTGGTCGCAACCAAAATTGTGTCAAGTTAAAAAGTAGCTCGAACCTTTACCTTGCATAACTTGGAATTATTTTAGCATAATTGAACAAGCTGCGAGTGAATTTTCCCAAGAAAAGACAAAATTGAATTTTTTTAGAACGTAGTTTTTTTTTTATTTATGAAAAGTTTTCCTAAACTGCATAATTAAGAAAACAGCGCGTTTACACAAATACCCGCAACCAGTTTAAAGTATTAATAATCGATTATATCATGATTTAACTACCAGTCTCGCAAAAATTGAGAAAAAATATAGATTTCAATCAATTGATAATTAATTATAATCTCTCCTTTTGGAATCAAAATTTAGTCAAAAACAGTAATATTTTATCAGTTATAATCAAACCTTAACCCATCTATTTTTTGATAGGATTTTAATCAATTACATTTGATAACAACAAAATATTTTATCCCAATTTCTTATTCAAATACTTTGCTCAAAAAATATGTTATGATCAATTATAATAGCTTATAATCCCTTTTGTTTGTCCATTTTGTATTCAAAATTGCATCATAATTGGTTGTATTTTAATTAATCTGTAGGCGTTAGTTAATGTGAAAAATGTCAAATTGTTTTAAAAATTTTCAATTCAAATCAAATTTTTAAGGTTTTTCATTTTTCATTTTTCTATTAGAGTTTTTTGATGATGTACTTTTAAAATTTTTTCCATCACCAAAATTTTAGCACAATGCTTTAGTTTTATAGTTTGTTTGGAAATCTTAAGTTTCACCTACCCGTAACGCGACAACTCGCAAGAAAAACAGCTCGCCTTAAAAGACTATTCGCAATATACTCACCGACGCAGTCGCGCCTACCTGTCACGAGCTTGCCAATAGAGGGTAGGACTGAAAATTAGTGCCGGTTTTTGCCGATAAGAGGCGACGTGCGCGTAGCGCGCCCACCGCCGACCTTAAACCGCAAATATAAAGTTTCCAGTTAGCTTCAAAAACTTGCGAGTTGTCGCTTTCCTTAAATTTTGCGAGTTGTCTTTTGTTGCGAGTTGTCGTTTCTTGCTAGTTGTCGCGGTATCTCACATACCGCAGGAATTTTTCAACTAAAATGACGAAATTTCTATGAAACTTTTGTTTCGTGGTAAAGCTTTGTGTTCAGATGAACCAAAGTGTGGTAGGACATCTCAATTTTAAAACTTCGTTATTGACAGAAAAATAGCACCCCGTAGGACATTTAAAAAATATTTTTGGTATGACAAGTTTTTGACAAAACAAAAAATGTAAACAGTTGGAACCAATAATAATTGAATTACAGAGTTTATTGTATGAACTATAATCAATTACAATTGATTATAAGACACTATAATCTCCTCAAAAATCTCACGATTGTAATTGATTAAAAAATCGTTAAACACCTAATTTTGGTTACTATTATCAACTATAATCGTCAAAAAGTCAACATAAACAATCAGTTATAATCGACTGCTTACGCCTAAGCTTCAATGCGGACACAGAAAAAAAACTTATTCAATATTTTTTGACATAAAAAAAATTGATTCGAGCAGTTCTGTCTACTGTTTGCTATCTATATCATAAGCATAACCAAAAAAGCAGACCGAACTGCTCAAATCAATTTTGATATGGCAACTGTTTTTTTTTCAAAAATTTTTTTGTTAAATTTTTTTTATGTGCGTTTTTCCTAATTATGCAGTTTTTTTATATGAAATGATTTCCAAAATTAATTTTTGATAATTCTTCAAAGTTAATTTTTTTAGGACAGGTCAATTGAAGCTTGATAACTCAAGTTAGTGCTTAAGACGCTCCATTTCCACAGCAACAAGCCTCAAGCGACAATTGTCAGTTTTCAAAAAGCCATGATTGTCGCATCGAGTAGTATAGCCAAACTGTTGGCAGTTTTTTCGCTGAGCAAATTAAGCAGCTCAAATTTGCTTGTTCTGAGTTTAAAGTTCATTTCCTCCAGTGCGTAATACCTGTCAAAAATCTAAGTATCCGAAGGAAAAAACTTCGAACTACTTAGCATTAACTAAAAAAGAGTCCATTGGCTCTGTAAATCCGGTAAGCATATTGTATCGAACCATTCATGCGCTAAGATTTGCTAAAGTTAGAGTCGAGTTTAAAAAGCGGTAAATTCGGTCGAGACAAGGTTGCGACGAAGGCGAGATCTGTCAAAACATAATTTGGTAATTTGGCTCCGTTTTCGTTTAGACTTGAAAGTTGACTTAGATCTTGACAGATGCTTGCAACAGTTCAGAGAGTGCAGAAAGATCCCACGTGATTGCCGACCAAAATGCTGAAATTTGAACCTATTTCCGAAGTTTTTGATAGCTTTCGTGGTTTTTTGGAACATGGTTAAATTGGCAAATTTCAATTTCAAATTTAACACGAATTTTACCAAAGAAGATCAAAAGTGAAAGGTCTTTTCACATTTGAACTCAAAGGGTCTATATCTTTATTGGGTTATGAAGATGATTCATTGAAAATTTTTTTCGATCACCAAAACTAGTCTGATTAAAACTCTAAGCCTATATATACCGACCGTTACCTTCTTCAAAGAACGGAAAAAAAAACAGAGCCGCCAGGTTACTAGAAAATAATTGAAACATATGAAGATATCTGCAGTATGATGAAAACAGTCCATTAAATTGATGGGACGAAACCTGCCGTGGGAAGAAATCTGGGTTAATCCACGGATTTTCATCATTTTTCTGGCCTAGGAAGATTTTCCACTACATACGCAAGGATCACATCCATTGGCGAAACATCGCCCTTTCAGCTCATAAAAATACGCCTCAACCACTAAGACACCGCTCTGCCGCTCTGTTAATTGAGATTTAAAATGATTCATCATAAATCAACTTATATAAATCAACTTATATGCTTCAATCAAAATATAACGGATCTATGGAAAATATAGTGCCAACTAGATTGCGAAAATGTTTTGCAGTTTAGCTTGTCTAAACACATCCGATTTGTCTCAAAGCTTCGCCTCCCACGTTTCGCTGCACCTAAAATAACAATCTGTCCAAATTATCATTCAAACCAGCGCTCCTGAGAGGAAAGCGCCCCCCCCCCCCCTAAATCCGATACTGCCTAAGCCTATAAAAAACGTTTCATTCAAAAATTTTTGAGCAGTTATAGAGCTCACTTTCAAGATAGCTGTAATATTGTGAAAACCAGAGGTGTTTATACAAATATTCGACAAATTTTTTAAACAAAATCAATTAAAACCTTCAGTGCAGTTCAGATCATTGCTTACTTACTCTGACAACTGTTGCTGCTTTTGTTTCTTGAGACGCCCCTGGGCCAGCAAGTGGCAGTGTTGGATAGTCTCTGGCAATTCCTGACCTCTGGTCTCCGGGAGGGCCAGACAAGCGATGGCAGAGAGAAGAGCCAGAACGATCATCAGGGCTAGACTGGCACCGTCTATGTAGCTGTTCAATACGTCTATGAAGGGGAACCCCATGCCCACGAAACGACAAAAGGAGGAGCATATACCAATTCCTAAATCAAGATCTCAGTATTCTCCTCCCTATATTACAAAATCGAGAGGATTCTTTACTAGGTTTAAAACTCACATACGCTTAGCCGTTGAATTAGTCTTTTAAAGAGGCGAACTTTCGTTTAGTACCACAGGGGCTAATACGTTAAGAATTCCAGAAAACTTACAGAAAAGAAGAGAGCAACTTGAAAAGCTCTCCTTATACAAAAGAAAGTAAAGAAGAAATATAACTACAAAAAAAAGCAAAGCAAACAATTTAAGAAAATCTAAGCTTCAAAAAGCAAAGAAAAACGTATAAAGATGAAAAAATTTATTGAGATCAAAGATCACTGCTAGCGGAAATTCATAAGAAATCGAAATCTGAAACATAGCCAACAGACAATTGAAAAAGAATCAAGGAAAGCAAGTAAAAAGGAAAATAAAACTGACTTATTTCAGAATTTCAAAGAAAAGAAAAACAGTTGGCTCTAAAGTTCTTTGAAATTCTAGAACAATTTATGGTTAACACTTTTTTTGATAAACTCAACCCAATTTGAGAAAACTGGATTAGTAGGTAAAATGTTTATTCCCTGGAAAATTTGGAAATAAAATTTCACTTTCGAAACTAGAACTCGATTACACTTTTGCTGTTCAAAATTAAAGTTTGCCTTTTTCTTAACAAAGGAAATGGAATGAACTTGAAAGAAAATCAAACCGCGAAAAAGTATTTTTTTGCGCCTGAACAACTTCTCTCCTGAAAAAAACATTGAAACAAAGTCATCGTTTCTTAAAAAATGTGCAGAACATAAAATCACTGAGAAATTATCAAACCAAATTGATTTTTCAGTTATTATTTATATGAAATAAAAACGCTAAAACATTTCAAAGTCAGTTTCTAGCTCAGTTGACTGTTTTTGACTTGCAATCTATTGCTCTCAAAATGAATTAAAAATTGATTGGTCCAATACATACTTGAACCTTCAAATGCTTCTATACAGTCGCGGATCTAAGAATTTCTCGAAGGGGGGGTGGCGGATTTTCAAAAAAAAAATTTCAAATTTTTGTCGACCTTTTTTTAGGCCGACCAAACAGATTTCTTAAGCTCTCCCAAACCACTATAAAAACCCTGATTTGACCAAATGTTCTGCGTCTCAGGCAAAGTTTTGAAAAAAAGTTTAAAAAAAAAAGCGTAATTAGGCACTTTTTGGAAAATTTCTACCAAAAAATTGCGTTTTTCCCCGCTCAAAATTAGTATAGATGGGCACCCAAGGTGCCTTTAGAACATTTTAAAGGTCAGTCAGCCCAAAATGGATATCTCAAAATAGTACAAAGGGGGACCCTTTGGGTCGCAGGGGGTCGAATCCCTGAGAAAGGAGGGGGGAGCGTCCCCCTCCCCCTAAATCCGCTACTGCTTCTATAAGTACTTTGACAAATCGGGCTTGTCCGTAGACTTTGCTTTTGCTTCGCAAAAAAAATTTATGAATGAATTTATTTCAAAAATCCTTGAGTTTTCATTAAATGAAATTTACTTTAGAATCATATTGATCGTGTTTAGCCAAGTTCAACACTGTACCCTATCGATCAACAGGTTTGTTTTTAACAAAAGTCTAATTTCGTTTTATTACAATTAAAGAAAAACATTCATAAGCAAATAACTTATCGGTTTTTGTTCGAAAATTACAGCACAAATCATCTTAAGAGAGAAGTTTGAAATTTTTTCCTTTTCAGTTTCATAAATAAGAGAAAAACAGTGGAAAAAATAATATTGAAAAATAATGTTGAAAAATCTCCTTTCTTTTGAATCAGAAGTTGGATAAAACGTTGAATAAAATCTTGTTTGAAAATATAATGTTCATACTGCTTTTCAACTCTTTTGAACAAAGTTTCAAAGATATAGTCTTACATTTTTTTGAATCATCAGTATGTCATTTAATTGATTTGAATTCTATAACACAAAGGTGGGAAACTCGATCAAAGGTTACAAATCTTCTGAACTAACCAGCAGTATTGGCTGAAACTACGTGAAGATCTTAACGGCTTATCATCGCACATAAATTTCTAGCATTATGCGAGATACTGCCTGAAATATTTTGAAGCGCAAGTATCAGTACGTGCTCTTTGCTTTAAGCTCAAAAAAATAAATCTTGGAACAATTTCTTCATGAGTATATTTTTTGAAAATTGACATTTTGTTGGGAGTGTTTCACTTCTATCCATAGTTTTTAGTTTTCCTGAATTCAATATAGCAATAGCTACAGTGATCGTCCCAGTGATCTTGTTTGATTTACCTTTAAAAGTTTTGTTTCTATGAAATTGCATTATAAAAACTGTATATATTTTCTTGCCAATTTTAATGAACGGAAGAACATGTAATGAACATAAAAAAAATTATACAGAACCAAAACGGAGTTTTGCAACACTTGCGATGCAAAAAAAAAACAAATTGCGCTACAAGATAGTGAATGGAAAAAGAAGACAATCAAAGAAACTTCTTGAAAATTATATTGCAAAAAAAATAATCGAAAAAGTAACTTGAAAAGTTGACAAAAACACAGCTAAAAAAAGTTCATGGCTGTATAGGATGAAGTCCATAAACAATCTTAAAAAATTTTAATTCATTTCAGCAGAGCGGCAACAAATTTTGGTCAAAACCTGTTGAGCCGAAAACAACTGTTGTCATGAAAAAACTTTCACAATTTCAATAATTTTTACGACCCATCCATTCTGAAACACATTCACTTTAGTGATATTTCAGTAATAAAAAGTAGTTGTTTAAATTGGAGCAAAACCATGCTGTAGGAAGCAGTCTAATAAAACTGTACCAGAAGAAAAAAGGCGTTTCAAAAAAAGTAGGAAAAAAGACCGACAGAAACTAGGACAAAAATCACGAACCCAAAAAATTACAACCTGAAAAGGGCAGTACCTTATTACTAATTAAATGATGGTTGTTTTGTTTGAACTGTCGAGGAATTGAGCACGTCAGAAGGCGCCTTTAGAAAGTTTTTAAGGTCAGTCAGCCCAAAATGGATATCTCAAAACAGTATAAAGGGGGACCCTTTGGGTCGCAGGGAGTCAAACCCCTGAGAGAGGAGGGGGGAGCGTCCGCCTTCCCCCTAAATCAGCTACTGCTTATATATGTATTTACTCAAATCGGGCTTGTCCATAGACTTTGTTTTCGCTTCGCAAAAAAAACTATGAATGAAGTTATTTCAAAAACCTTTGAGTTTTCATTAAATAAAATTCATTTTAGAATCATATTGATCGTGTTTAGCCAAGTTCAACAGTGTACCCTATCAATAAAGAAGACAATCAAAAAAACTGATAGAAAAATAATTTGCAAAAAACTATTTGAAAAAATAACTTGAAAAATTAACAGAAACACAGCTACAAAAACTTCATGGCTGTATAGGATGAAGTCCATAAACAATCTTAAAAAATTTTAATTCATTTCAGCAGAGCGGCAACAAATTTTGGTCAAAACCTGTTGAGCCGAAAACAACTGTTGTCATGGAAAAACTTTCAAAATTTCAATAGTTTTTACGAACCATCCATTCTGAAACACATTCAATTTAGTGATATTTCAGTAATAAAAAGTAGTTGTTTAAATTGGAGCACAACCATGTTGTAGGAAGCAGTCTAATAAAACTGTACCAGAAGAAAAAGGCGTTTCAAAAAAAGTCGGAAAAAGGACCGACAGAAACTAGGACAAAAATCACGAACCCAAAAAATTACAACCTGAAAAGGGCAGTACCTTATTACTACTTAAATGATGGTTGTTTTGTTTGAACTGTCGAGGAATTGAGCACGTCAGAAGGCGCCTTTAGAAAGTTTTTAAGGTCAGTCAGCCCAAAATGGATATCTCAAAACAGTATAAAGGGGGACCCTTTGGGTCGCAGGGAGTCAAACCCCTGAGAGAGGAGGGGGGAGCGTCCGCCTTCCCCCTAAATCAGCTACTGCTTATATATGTATTTAGTCAAATCGGGCTTGTCCATAGACTTTGTTTTCGCTTCGCAAAAAAAAACTATGAATGAAGTTATTTCAAAAACCTTTGAGTTTTCATTAAATAAAATTCAATTTAGAATCATATTGATCGTGTTTAGCCAAGTTCAACAGTGTACCCTATCAATAAAGAAGACAATCAAAAAAACTGATGGAAAAATAATTTGCAAAAACTATTTGAAAAAATAACTTGAAAAGTTAACAGAAACACAGCTACAAAAACTTCATGGCTGTATAGGATGAAGTCCATAAACAATCTTAAAAAATTTTGATTCATTTCAGCAGAGCGGCAAAAAATTTTGGTCAAAACCTGTTGAGCCGAAAGCAACTGTTGTCATGAAAAAACTTTCAAAATTTCAATAATTTTTACGACCCATCCATTCTGAAACACATTCAATTTAGTGATATTTCATTAACAAAAAGTAGTTGTTTAAATTGGAGCAAAACCATGCTGTAGGAAGCAGTCTAATAAAACTGTACCAGAAGAAAAAAGGCGATTCAAAAAAAGTCGGAAAAATGACCGACAGAAACTAGGACAAAAATCACGAACCCAAAAAATTACAACCTGAAAAGGGCAGTACCTTGTTACTACTTAAATGATGGTTGTTTTGTTTGAACTGTCGAGGAATTGAGCACGTCAGAAGGCGCCTTTAGAAAGTTTTTAAGGTCAGTCAGCCCAAAATGGATATCTCAAAACAGTATAAAGGGGGACCCTTTGGGTCGCAGGGAGTCAAACCCCTGAGAGAGGAGGGGGGAGCATCCGCCTTCCCTCTAAATCAGCTACTGCTTATATATGTATTTAGTCAAATCGGGCTTGTCCATAGACTTTGTTTTCGCTTCGCAAAAAAAAACTATGAATAAAGTTATTTCAAAAACCTTTGAGTTTTCATTAAATAAAATTCATTTTAGAATCATATTGATTGTGTTTAGCCAAGTTCAACAGTGTACCCTATCAATAAAGAAGACAATCAAAAAAACTGATGGAAAAATAATTTGCAAAAAACTATTTGAAAAAATTACTTGAAAAGTTAACAGAAACACAGCTACAAAAACTTCATGGCTGTATAGGATGAAGTCCATAAACAATCTTAAAAAATTTTAATTCATTTCAGCAGAGCGGCAAAAAATTTTGGTCAAAACCTGTTGCGCCGAAAGCAACTGTTGTCATGAAAAAACTTTCAAAATTTCAATAATTTTTACGATCCATCCATTCTGAAACACATTCAATTTAGTGATATTTCAGTAATAAAAAGTAGTTGTTTAAATTGGAGCAAAACCATGCTGTAGGAAGCAGTCTAATAAAACTGTACCAGAAGAAAAAAGGCGTTTCAAAAAAAGTCGGAAAAAGGACCGACAGAAACTAGGACAAAAATCACGAACCCAAAAAATTACAACCTGAAAAGGGCAGTACCTTTTTACTACTTAAATGATGGTTGTTTTGTTTGAACTGTCGAGGAATTGAGCACGTCAGAAGGCGCATTTAAAAAATTTTTAAGGTCAGTCAGCCCAAAATGGATATCTCAAAACAGTATAAAGGGGGACCCTTTGGGTCGCAGGGAGTCAAACCCCTGAGAGAGGAGGGGGGAGCGTCCGCCTTCCCCCTAAATCAGCTACTGCTTATATATGTATTTAGTCAAATCGGGCTTGTCCATAGACTTTGTTTTCGCTTCGCAAAAAAAACTATGAATGAAGTTATTTCAAAAACCTTTGAGTTTTCATTAAATAAAATTCACTTTAGAATCATATTGATCGTGTTTAGCCAAGTTCAACAGTGTACCCTATCAATAAAGAAGACAATCAAAAAAACTGATGGAAAAATAATTTGCAAAAAACTATTTGAAAAAATAACTTGAAAAGTTAACAGAAACACAGCTACAAAAACTTCATGGCTGTATAGGATGAAGTCCATAAACAATCCTAAAAAATTTTAATTCATTTCAGCAGAGCGGCAACAAATTTTGGTCAAAACCTGTTGAGCCGAAAACAACTGTTGTCATGAAAAAACTTTCAAAATTTCAATAATTTTTACGACCCATCCATTTTGAAACACATTCAATTTAGTGATATTTCAGTAATAAAAAGTAGTTGTTTAAATTGGAGCAAAACCATGCTGTAGGAAGCAGTCTAATAAAACTGTACCAGAAGAAAAAAGGCGTTTCAAAAAAAGTTGGAAAAAGGACCGACAGAAACTAGGACAAAAATCACGAACCCAAAAAATTACAACCTGAAAAGGGCAGTACCTTATTACTACTTAAATGATGGTTGTTTTGTTTGAACTGTCGAGGAATTGAGCACGTCAGAAGGCGCCTTTAGAAAGTTTTTAAGGTCAGTCAGCCCAAAATGGATATCTCTAAACAGTATAAAGGGGGACCCTTTGGGTCGCAGGGAGTCAAACCCCTGAGAGAGGAGGGGGGAGCGTCCGCCTTCCCCCTAAATCAGCTACTGCTTATATATGTATTTAGTCAAATCGGGCTTGTCCATAGACTTTGTTTTCGCTTCGCAAAAAAAACTATGAATGAAGTTATTTCAAAAACCTTTGAGTTTTCATTAAATAAAATTCACTTTAGAATCATATTGATCGTGTTTAGCCAAGTTCAACAGTGTACCCTATCAATAAAGAAGACAATCAAAAAAACTGATGGAAAAATAATTTGCAAAAACTATTTGAAAAAATAACTTGAAAAGTTAACAGAAACACAGCTACAAAAACTTCATGGCTGTATAGGATGAAGTCCATAAACAATCTTAAAAAATTTTAATTCATTTCAGCAGAGCGGCAAAAAATTTTGGTCAAAACCTGTTGAGCCGAAAGCAACTGTTGTCATGAAAAAACTTTCAAAATTTCAATAATTTTTACAACCCATCCATTCTGAAACACATTCAATTTAGTGATATTTCAGTAATAAAAAGTAGTTGTTTAAATTGGAGCAAAACCATGCTGTAGGAAGCAGTCTAATAAAACTGTACCAGAAGAAAAAAGGCGTTTCAAAAAAAGTCGGAAAAAGGACCGACAGAAACTAGGACAAAAATCACGAACCCAAAAAATTACAACCTGAAAAGGGCAGTACCTTATTACTACTTAAATGATGGTTGTTTTGTTTGAACTGTCGAGGAATTGAGCACGTCAGAAGGCGCCTTTAGAAAGTTTTTAAGGTCAGTCAGCCCAAAATGGATATCTCAAAACAGTATAAAGGGGGACCCTTTGGGTCGCAGGGAGTCAAACCCCTGAGAGAGGAGGGGGGAGCGTCCGCCTTCCCCCTAAATCAGCTACTGCTTATATATGTTTTTAGTCAAATCGGGCTTGTCCATAGACTTTGTTTTCGCTTCGCAAAAAAAAACAATGAATGAAGTTATTTCAAAAACCTTTGAGTTTTCATTAAATAAAATTCACTTTAGAATCATATTGATCGTGTTTAGCCAAGTTCAACAGTGTAACCTATCAATAAAGAAGACAATCAAAAAAACTGATGGAAAAGTAATTTGCAAAAAACTATTTGAAAAAATGACTTGAAAAGTTAACAGAAACACAGCTACAAAAACTTCATGGCTGTATAAAATGAAGTCCATAAACAACCTTAAAAAATTTAAATTTGTTATAAGAGCGGCAACAAATTTGGGTCAAAACCTGTTGAGCCGAAAACAACTGTTGTCATGAAAAATTTTTCAAAATTTCAAAAAATTTTGCGACCCATCCATTCTGAAATACATTCAATTTAGTGATCTTTCAGTTATAATAAATAGTTGTTCAAATTGTACCGAAACCATGCTGTAGGAAGTAGTCTAATAAAAACTGTAGAAAAAAAGGCGTTTCAAAAAAAAGTCGGAAAAAGGACCGACAGAAACTCGGACAAAATCACGAACCCAATAAATTACAACCTGAAAAGGGCGTTACCTAATTACAACTTAAATGATGGTAGGTTTGTTTGAATTTTCAAGGAATTGAGCATGTCAGAAGTGATTTTTACCATTCCTACTTAATTGAACATGCTGTGAACAAAGTTATTTACGGGAAAAAAGTCTAGTAATCGATTGCAATACCCTTGCTTCTCGCAAGGCTAATCACTTGTATATAGTGCCCATCAAACCCGACAAATCCATTATCAAATCTGGTACGACACCACCACTTCGACAACTTGCTCGGCAAATTTACCCACAAGGATTCCGCCCCTCCATGCCACTACATTAAACACTCCCTCCCTCTAAACTTGATGAGAATTCCCCTTATCTTGCGAAAACATAAAACTACCACTACTCAATGCAAATGGTGACTTTACGTTATGACATCACAACATAGTTCCTTGATTTACCTGTGGTTCGGGAGAGCGTGGGAAGTAGTTCGCCCGTGTAGAGGAAGATGAGGTCAAAAGTGCCAGTCACAAACAGTTTGCTGAAGGAGGCGAACACCAAAACCAGACTCTTCGTCCCTATAAGTACATGTCACGTCAGGGTAAATGCGCTCATATCAGACGGAACAAATAGCAGAAAAATTTTTCAGTCAATTAGAATACAAAATTCAAAAAATGAACGAGCTGCGGGGGGGGGGGGGGGTTTCTTTTTGTTATACGGCCAATTTTTTAATGATCTCAAATTAATATAATCTTTATGCCCCTCCCCCCGCAAATGACCTATCGTAGAAACAGGTGCGGATCTAGATTTATCCCGAGTTTTGTCGACCAAATTGAGTTTCCTTGGCTCTCGAAGTCACTATAAAGACCTTATTTTGACCAAATTTTCGCCGCTGCTGGCATATTATTAAAAAAAAAAACAGGCAAAAATGGCGTATTTAGGCAGTTTTTGGAAAAATTTGACCAAAAATTGCGTTTTCTGTCGCGCGCTCCTAAGTGAAAATTACCCTCTATTCCTCTTTTGAGAAATTTGTTAGGTTGGTCAGGTAGGGCATAATGTACAATGCATGATGTTATTAAAAAATTTAATTGAAGTGTTTTTTAAAAAGAGTTTTTTGGGCGACAAATACATGAACTTTGAATGTAAATTTTGCATCTTTTCAGAGCAATTGAGCTGATGATTTTTATATGGTATTCTTTTCAAAGAATTGGAGAGAAAATTTGTGCATGGGATGTTTTTTCTCTAGACGAATATAAATATCTTGGCAACGATTTTTTGACAAAACATTTTTGAGTTTCCCGTTCCCCCTAAATCCACCCCTGATATTAACTAATTGTAACCATCGTAATCATTCGTAATTTTTCTACTTTCTTATCAAAAAAAAACAAGAAATTTTGAAGGAAAAAAATGTTTTTTTTTGAAAATTCATTTTTGAGTTCTTAATTCATTTCATTGTTAAGCAGTTAATTTTTATGCCTATGGCATATTAAACGAGATAAAAATCTGCCTATAGAGTACTACTTTTGGCTTTTTTGCGATATTTGGCATTGATGAACTTTAAGTACTTTTAAAAAATTAAACTTGTTTCTTATTAGTTGGAGGTAGAATGATGTAGTTGGAGTAGGGGGTATACTAGACTGACTACAATAGAAAAAAAAAGATAGGAAGGAAAAAGTGATGGTAAATAAATGGGATGTTTGGTTGGTGCCTACCTGCGAATAGCTTGCACAGAGCGAGAGATACAGAGCAGAGAATGAGTCCAGCCACCATCACCGACCTCCTTCCGGCCCAGTTGATGGTGAGCATCACTAGCACCACTCCCGGCATCTCAAACAGGCCACTCAGCAGAGAGTAGGAGTACAGGTTCAGAGCGAACAGGTCCTGACCCATTGTTAGTGCATAATACAGCAACATGTTCGAAGACCTGCAAATGGGAAAATACTAAAATAGTATATACGAGATACGACAATTCCAAAATTAAATTTAATTATTTCAACTTAAGAACTTTAGAAGGGTTATTCTTACGTTCAAATGGTTGAGTTGAAAATTTCGTGAGGGGAGGCAAATATTCAAAAAATGATTAATTAAAATCCCTTGAAATGTAAGAGGGTCAAAATTCTGAGGGCGAGGGCGTCCGAAAACACGCCTAGACTCCCCCTGTAAGTCCGCGCCAGGTACACTCCTATCATGTTTTTGTATTCAATTCTCGGAAGAGTCAATTCTCGGAAGGAGATGAACACGAACAAAACTTATCTAGAAAAAATTAATTTTCAGATCAGACAACTACTTTTTTCAGAGCAAGCCGAAACCTTTCAAATTTTGATTTCAACATGATTCGCGCAAATTTGCGAAACAAACTTTTCGTACAATACGCAAAGTAAGACTTCTATTCCTCGGAGAAAAAAAAGAAAAGGGACAAAAAAACTATTTAAAAAGTAAACAAACTATGCCTACCATATAAATGACAAAATGAGCAGCCATTTCTTCAGCAGAGGGTCTCCAAAAGTTTCTCTGATTGGAGATTTCTGACAGCTCTTGGAGGAATATTGTGTCGCCTTTTTCCTGCCCAGAAATACTTCAAAGGACTCCTTTGGCAATTTATAACACAATAGGAGACCCTTTTCAAAACAAGAATCACATTTGAAATCCTGACCTGACTTATATTAAGGACAAATAAAATCTCTTGTTGCATCAATTCTCGTTTTAAACTAGACGATATAGTTTTTTGAAGCCAACCTTTATCCAAACATATGTTGTTCTCGAGAATAACGCAATGTCTGCGAGCCCAGAAAACAAATGCTTAATGTTGCAGAAAATAAAAAGCATCATCCGTGGCGAGTTTACCTCAGCAAATTAACGTCTTTTTTTTTTAAAAAAGCATTTTTGTTTAAAGTTTTATCATTGTTAGAACGTAAGAAAGTAGTTTCGAGCTGTAAAACAATAAAGCACAATCATTTCATCTTTCTACATCGTATGAGTACATGAAAAACTCCTTTTCAAAACAGTTTTTCTTTCTAATTTTTTCTAATAATTTTAAAAGGGATCTTCTATCGTGTTAAATTGTTAAATCGTTCCTTGTAATGACACTGTGTATGCTGAGTCACAATCAATTCCTCCAGTTTTTGCCACATGTTAGGATCCAGGGTCTTGTTCGTTTTGACCTCGATGTCCTTGGCCACCTGTTTGAACTCGCGATACTTTCCCTGCTCTAACAACCATCGCGGGCTCTCTGGCATCACGAAGCTGAAAAGAGAAAAAAAAGAAGCTTAGTTGTTTCGTGTATTTCGGTGAATTTTCTTACGGCACCAGGTCCGAAAAAAAAACAAAAGAACCAAACTGACCAATTAAACTTATTAAGATATGCCTATTGCCCCAAATGCATAAAAGCAACAGTAAGTTGCTTTAAAACAGAAGAATGTTCATTTTGTTTTGCCCTCATTTTGTTTTGCTTATCATGCAATTTAATATATGAAATTTTTGGAAAAAATGCTCGTCATACAAAATTCATACAAAATTTAAAAGTGTTTTTAAAAACTTTTAATGAATATTTTTGGTCTATTTGCCTCTTTTGAAGCTTTCTGGTCATTAAAAATGATTTAAAATTTTTGATAAAAAACAATTAATATTATACAGTTTTCATGTATGAAAATTATAAGATAATCATTTTGTCATAGGTAAAATAAAAACTTCAAAAATCACAAAAAAACGTGTCTGGGTAACTTTAAAGAGATTTAAATAATTATACCTAAGATAGAGGGCATTTTGACAATCAAAAACCCTTTTTTAGTTTCGGTCGCTTATCATATAGTTTTTTAGCCTTTTTTAGCTCATCATATAGTTTTCATAAATGAAAATTGTATGATGTGCATTTTTTCATAGACAAAAACACAAATTTGAGGTAAAAATCCAAAAATCACAAAAAATTGTTTTTTTTTGTAACACAATTATTATTTTTTTGTTTAGTTTTGCTAAGATAAAAAATTAAATTTGTAAAAAACAAGCCATTTTTTCCCAACCACCAAAAATTTCAAACTAAAAATTATCTAGCCATATGCAAAAATTTACATTTGGTATATAATTCCATTTGAAAATGTCAAAATTAACTTTCGTGGCTAAAGTCACCATGCGCAGGTTATCTGCGCGGTAACTACCAATTACACACTGGGTTTTCGTATGAAAAAAATCCTTGGTTAGTGTTTGGGATGAAACACAAAATTTCAAATCAAAAATTTTTTTTTTGTATTTTGAGTTCTGGAAAAAATGTTTATCATACATTATCATAGTATGGAAAAAATGCTTTTTATACAATTTCATTGTATGCAAAAACTCTTATTTTGCTATTTCGCTGAATGATTTTTGCACTGAACCGAAGTCAAAATTAGCAGAAAGAAATGTAGCATTCACAGTTCGTGCAGATACAAAAAAGATGGTGTTTTTCAAGTTCTATTAAATTGGTACAGTCCTGATTTGAATTATCCGGTCAAAATGAGCAAAATTTGAACTTTCACACACGTTTTTCTCAAGTTGGGTTACAATCAAAAAAGTGATGAGAACAAAAGTTGCTTAGAAATTCATCAGAATTATTAGGAGGCAATTTTTTCTCCGAAATTTTCAACCAAGGTTTTACTCCAAAAATGGGTTATTTTGGCTTTTTTCAATTAATCAAGAATTACGCTGAAACTGCTTTGTTAATTGATGAGAAAATTAAACCACAGGAAGCCTCTTAAGTATTCCAACAAAGTTTAAGAAGGGTTAAATCTCCAAAAACCTGTATGAGAGAAAAAAAATTTACTTGATAGTCAATAAATGAGATTTTTGCTATATAAAACCCAGTATTTTTGCATTAAAATATTTCAAAACCTTTTTGCGCAATTTTTTGATGATTTAACATTTCTTGAACTTTGTTGGGCTGCATAAGAGGCTTCCTGTGGTATAACTTTTTGTCTTATCATAACCCAAATTGAGAAAAACTTGTTTGAAAAATCAACTTTTGTTCATTTTGTCCGGATAGATTAAATCGGCGCTGTATAAACGCATTGGCAACAATTTATCGATAAAACATTTTTGAGTCATTTTTGAAAAATGCCCAAAGCTAAAACTTTTAAAATAGCCTCCAATAATTCTTTAGAAAAGTCATGAGGTTTGACTATTACCATTTTGGGCAATTTGAGATAATTGATGCGTGAAAAATTCCTATAAATGCGTAGAGCAAAATCCCAATCAACACGTCTCAGGGGTGGTTCTAGGATTTTCAAGTTTCGCTCGTTTTGTCCGGATAACTTAAATCAGCACTGTTTCTGTGAAACAATTTTTCTTTGTGTCTTTGATCTGGTAATTTTGCCCCTCACACACTTCGCCCCTCATAAATTACTGGCACATTTCGCCGCTAAAATTTACATTAAGAAAGCGGCGTTAATTAACTGTGTAATAAGTTAGGGGCGAAACGTGCGAGGTCGATAGGTGTGATATTATTAGGGGCGAAATGTGTAAGGGGCGAAACGTGGGACGTTCATCCATTTTAGCTGGAGTTCTAGCTGGTTCTGACTCCAATTTCTTGCGCCAATCAAAATCGAGTATACTAAACGCAAACTAAATTTAGTCGTAAATATTTAGATGGATGGAAGATCTTGTTTTGGGCTATTTAGAGGTGGAGGGTGTTAACGTGATCCCATATGATTTCTAGGAGAACAAGTTAAACTAGAAACGACTGCCTCAATCCCTGTATACAGACCAGAATGAAGTATACTCACAACCAGTAGAGAATGATGGGCAGACAGAACCACATGCCGGTGGTGGTGAAGAGTCTCCAGGTGCGGATGAAATAGCCGAAGAGAGAGTACATGGCCATGCCTGCCCCGAACTCAATCCCAGGCACCATCCCAATCATGCCCCTATGGCCAGGCATCATCACCTCCGCCCCTACACACACACACGCACACACATCAGACCAAAAAAAATCAACCAAAAATGGATGTCTCAGAATAGTGTCAAAAGGGGGACTTCAAGTGGCCAGGAGATCGAATCCTTGATGGTACGGGGGCGTAATAAAAACAACACCCACAAAAAAAACAGTAGCAAAAAAACAGGATGAATGGGTTATAAATGGCTTTTTTCTCAAGAATTGACATTAATAAGCTATGTTAACGTCCAATCCAGATAGAGAATTGTAATCTTTTTAATACTAGATTTGCAAATTTGAGCTTGCTTTGCAAATGCAGATGCGTACAAGGCTCAGTTCTACAACCTTTTTTTTCTACAAATTTGAAGCAAACTAAGCTTTAAAACAGAAAAACATCTGATATTCAATATTTAGATAAAGACAATTTCTCTTAACTGTCAAGTAGTTCAGCTTTTTGCTTACCGAAGGTGACAGCGATGGGGTATTTGCCCATGTTGAAGATGGAGACTACGAATCGGAGGATTATGAGGAGGATGATGTTGTTGGACAGAGCCATGCCGACGATGAAGAACATCTCAAGGAAGAACTGAGTGATCAGCAGCGTCTTCCTCCCATATCTAGTAGAGCATGTATTATTATTTCCAGGCAATTCAGCTCATTCATTGCATTTACGATCTGACCGTTGGGGCTCTGTGTCCTCTTTAAACCACCCCCCCCCCCCTTTTTCACATTAGAATGATTTTATGGTGTAACGAGTGGTTGTACAAGTACAGGCATGAAAATATACTTCGGATAGACTAATTAGTCCTGCATGCCAGCCCTTATAATAATCGGACACTTTGACCAAAATTCATCATAGAAAAGTTCACAGGTGGAGGCAGGGTGGAAAAAGAGCCAACGTCGATCTATTCTATCTTTATGAGACCTATGCCATCTTTAGATCTATTATGTCACCATTGGATCTCTCGTCTCATCAAAGCATGTCTAGTTTCAATATGCACACTCACACATCTGCGAGATGACCGAGGATGATGGCCCCTATGCATTGTCCCAACACGAACAGAGACTTGTCTATCCTTCTGAACATCTCCCCGCCACACACCAAGTCGAACTTAAAGAAAAGCATGTTTGTGTAATAAGCAGTTCTGACTACGACATATTTTTTGTCGACCAACTTTCAACGCCTATATATCATCTCAAAATCCTAAAATCATCTCAATAGTCGAAATAAAAAATGCACATTTGTATAATGAGGAGTCCTGACTACAACATAATTACAAATTGAATGATTGCATGTAAATTCCTCATAATTTTCGTCACAAAATGCCTGTTCATGAGGAGTTCCGAGTAAGACATTTTGTCGACTACTTTATACTAACTAATTTAGTGTCTGAAACCTTCTTAAAAGCAGTCGAAAACGTCATTTTTATCACATTTCATTAATAAAATTTCGCATGCGCGTTTTTTTAGCGTTCCGATTGCCGTACGTGGTCGGTGCTCATTCTCGATGCTCGGAAGAATCTTACAATTTGAATTTGACCATCAAAATCTGAAACACTTACTATTTACTGCAAACTGCGATTGCATAATTTTCAGACAAAACCAGTGATAAGAAAACGTATCACAGCCTTTCATTATTTTCAAAGCCAGACTGACCTCTGATACGACTGAATCAAGAGCTTCCACAGGCATGAACTCATAGCCGAACATCTCTTCACATCTAGCGAACTCAGCACCACTCAACACACTCGACATGTTCGGCTGAGAGAGCAGTTCGGCTAAAGTCACATTCAGGTCCTCGGCTTCGGATATGACGTCATCCACACTGGCGTTTAGTGCTGTGCAGCCATCGTTGTTGTCTGCAAGGACTCCACTGCAGCCGAATCCATTGGGATCTTAGCAGAACAATCAATTGTCCGAAAAAATTGCACAACCTTCATGCGTTTATGATTTTTTTCTTCGAACTCAAGGCAAAATTAGTCATGAAAGTTTACAGGCGAAAACCTATAATTTTTATTGCTTTTTGTCTTAAACAAGCAAGCAAGGTTTCAGTTTCTCAATTTTTTAATCAATTTTTCTAATTTTTGCGAAATGTTTATTACCTTGGAAGAATGTCTGCTGGATTAATTGGTGTGGTACATTCTGCAACTCTTGTCTTTCGTAGTTCTTCATACTAATATTACTAATATCAAAACTAGTGTCATCGTAGCTATTGTAGTTATAGTTGTTGTCGTTATTGGTTGTTTGTTCCAGTCCGGGTATCCTGCACCTGTGGGGTATGTGTGCGGCTGCAAATATGGGCCATAGCACATTTCCCCCGTCCTGCAGGGCCACTATGGACACTCCCAGAAACACCAGCAGATGCCACTTGTTCCAGTATCCTACACAAAACATAACAAGACTGCTCGTTTCAGGGCGAAGCCCTGAAAGTTCCGACAGCCTTTTAACGTTTATGGAGCATTAATAACATAAACAACATTAAAAAATTAATAGAAATAAAATAAAATGAAAAAAAAAATGTTTTTTCTAAAATTTGAAAATTTTTCTATGAAAATCATCCCCCATACGCCATATAAAGTACAAAACAATAGATTTCGCTCCTTGTAACAAATCAATTATGGCAAATAAACTTCTTACAACCAATTTGGAACGATTTCTAAGACGGATTAATTCTCCGCTTGCGCGTTAATAGCGCGAATTATATCGCGCGTTAATTGTCCCAAATTGGTCAAAATGGCCAAAATGGCAATCTTTAAACCCTCATAACTTTACGAAAAAAGATCACAGGTGAAATATCTTTTCAAATTTAAGCTCAGGACAACAATAGTTTTCGAATGATATAAAAAATTTCCGTCAAAAATGGCTAGTTAAAAAGTCGAAATTTGTCTGAAGAAAAAAAAAACCCACCCCGAGCCCAAATATTCCGTTACTTTCGTATCGAAAGTCGGAACAATTACTGTTATGTCCTAGATTTCTTACTAAACTTATTTTCTTATCTGATATCTCTAAATATCCCCCATTTGGTACTTATTCACGAAGTAGCAAATATGATGAAATAATTATAATCAATCAGGATAGAACTGATTTTTTTTGTTTTTGAAAATATTTTAAAAAAATACAATTCAAGTTGATGAGTGATCTCTAAACGAGGTTAATTAAGTTGAATATTAAGGCATATTTATTGATCGCCAACTAACATATCAAAATCAGGTTAAAAGCATTTAAAAAAAACAGGGCATCAAAACCATCTACACAATCCTTGTTTCATCCAGATTAAAACCAGATATAATTAATTGTCCAGTACTGAGCCATTCACATTAAGCTGTGATTTTGAATACGATCTCAGAAAACATCATTGCATTCGAAAAAGAACTTAGCTGAGCTGTTGAAATCTTTGAAGCAGATCTTTGCAACAATAGCATTAAATTTTTGGAAGGCCTGAACATTGTTATTGTTCCGACTTTCGATACGAAAAAAACGGAATATTTGTGCTCGGGGTGGGTTTTTTTCTTCAGACAAATTTCGACTTTTTAACTAGCCATTTTGAAAACAGGCTGTAAAAACTAGCCATTTTTAACTAGCCATTTTGAAGCTGTAAACTTGATTAGTGAAATAACAAAAAAAAATTAGTCTTCTTTTTGTATTTTTTCACTGTTTTTGGTAAAATTATATAGGTTTCAAAATTAATCATTTAAATGTAATTGGGATCTGTAACACGCGATGTTTTTGAGTTGTTCGAGCGGAGAAAAATGGTAGAACAAATCGTTCAAACTGAATAAGGAATATCATTTAGTCGTTTTCTGATGATACGGCTTGCTTACCACATGCCGTTGTACTTAACATGTTGTGTGGGGAAATAAAATGAAAAACATTTTAATTTAAGCCACAATGATAAAAAGTCTTTTAATAATGAAAAACATTTTTATTTCTTAATTTGATATATTTACAAAATTTTAGTTTTGCATCAAAAAATTTTGTTAAAACTATTTTCTTCAATGTTAAATTGGAAAATTCATTTTTGATCACAATCACTCTGACTTTTCACAATCACTCTGGAAAATAAAAAAAAACCGAATCAATTTTTTTCCGTAAATTTATGGGAGTCCAGATATGAAACTTTATGAATCAAGATTTTTTTCAGATTTGATCATTTCTGTTTTAGATCTGAATATTTTTTAGTTTTTATCAATTAACAACTTTCAGATGTGAAAATCATTTTATGTAAGTAATATAGAATTTCAGATCTTGTAAAGAACAGCCCCTAGCTACGGGAGTGTTCATGTTTTCCACACACTTAAAGTATTTGTCGAAAACAATCTCGTTCATCGTTAATTTGAAAAATCAATTTTAATTGCACTCAAATTGATTCTGAATACGCTTCTGTTTTTCTTGTTTCAAAATTCGAAATCAATTTTGGCACAGAGGCAAAACTACAACAGTAGCCAAACGCAGTTCAACTAATAATTAGGTCGCACTAAAAAATTCAAAATATCCATAAGGACATAAATACAAGCACGCTTCTAGCTAGCCCGACCCTTTAAAAAACTGTTCGTTAATCTAATAAAAAACGTCAATCTATCTATATGTTAACGACATGTTTTTCGTACAATGCGCAATGGTTAAAAAATAACACAGAGGACAATGTCGCCAATCAGAAATAATGAAATATTGAGAATACTAAATTATATAAATTATTATTAGAGAGAAAGAGAGAGAGACTGATCTTACATCTGTGCTTTCTTAAGTTGCATTTAAACTTTTTGTTACAAAAACTTGTTTATTTCCAGGAGAATAAATAGCTGAAACTACCTGCTTCGGGATGAAGAGAAGGAAGGGGTAGAGAAGGAAGGGTGTATAGAAGAAGGGTGGTGGGGGAGGAAGGGGGAAGGAGAGGGAGGAGGAGGGGGGAGGCATGTGAGGAGGGAACAAGCGGGAGGGGGCTCCCACAAATTTGCCGCTATGTTACTTCATCACCTTTGTAATTCATGGCCATATTAATTTATCATCACCTTATTAGTCTACCGAGATTATTAACAAATCATTTTGTTTCTCTATTCTTCCAGCCTTCTTATGTTTTTCTTTCTGTATTTTTCAAGCGAATTCAACAAAGTAATTCATTTATCAATCCGAGGCTTGATCAACCTTGAATCTCTGTGTAAGTATAGAATATCCTTCAGTATAAGAGTAGTCAAGTTCAACAAGGCTGTTTAGATGTAAAATTTTGGTGTGTTTTTTCATGCAAAAGCGAAACGAACGGCGAATTGGCAGGTAGTATTTAGGTAATTTTTTCGAGATGTTGCTTTTGCAAACTTTGTTCACTCGTTGTGTGCACGTTTAAATATCATATAGATAATCTTGAATCGAGTATCTCTTAAATTGCCACCGAAAAATCCCCAAATCACCAAAAAAGTCTCCAAATTATTTAGACAAAGTGTTCGAAAAAGCTGAGCGGCGTATTCGAGACGCATTCGAAGACCATTCGAAGCGAAACAAGAAGTGAAGGTGTCGAGGGCCATATTATCGAAAAATCACTGAAGTATTTCTTCGATGATCGAATATTATTAAAAATGGAGGTGTGAAGAGTTTTCGGAACCCGAAGTTTTCACAGATTCAAAGAAAGATTTGGCATGGTGGCATAACTCTTATGACAGATTTTGTCGTTTTGAGCTCCGAACCAGTAGAGCCCAATATAAATCCATGGCCCGGACTTTTGATGACGGATTAGACTGAAAACTTTTGCGAACGTGATACCAAATTGTCGACGAGCAGACTGCGACAGCAGAAAACCCAGAAAAAAAAATTGAACGAAACTGAAAACATCGAAAAGCCAAACTCCGAAGAGGCTGAAACGGTTGAAGAACGAAACGACTCTCTATCAATTTTGGTGACAGCCTTCTCGCCTCAGGAAGCGATCGATGATGGGTTCAGATTTATTTTCTTTTTTTGAGTGTTTTTGCAAAAATTTATACATGGTTGAGTCTAAAATATACATTTGTGTTTGCAATTTATTCAATTGAGTATCTTATACTCTGAGTTGCCATAACATTTGAACGCAAGCTAACTCATCGACTTAGCACAGTATATGGCTGGCTTGGGATCCCAATGACATCAAGGAAACAAGTTCACATATAAAGGATAATTTTTACAAATTCTCCCAATCAGTTAAGGGGGAGAAAGTATGAATTTTTCACACGTCAACTTTCTAGAGAATGTTACATCTACTCAAAATATTTCATTTTCGAAACATGAAAAAAACGTCGATTTAACTGTTTTTAAGCACATCAAAATCAATATTAATTAAAAGTTTATAATTAGTTACATTTGTATAAACGCGTTTTTGCGCGTTTGTATATAATGCATGTTTTATACATGGTTTATTTGCAGAATAATTACAAGCGTGCTCAATGGCGAAGTCTTTTAGGGGGGGGGGGGGGGGGGGGGTTTATGCATGATTCCGTTTCAGTTTTAAAACATTCATTTTAAATTACCATAAAAAACATTATTACAAGTGTGATAGAGGGTCCCAAATTACATAAATTTTAGGCAAAAACTACAAATAATCAGCTCAAAATGCGCCATTGGTCTTTCTAATAATTGTCTCAAACGTAATTAACCTGTCGCATTCGCGCAAACTCATTTTGTACTTTAATTAGCATTATCAAAATACTAAATTGAGCAATTTTGAGTCACTTTTTCACATTAGGTTAGTTTCTTGGGACCCCTCTATCACAGTTGTACCAAGTCATCATTTGCGACACTTAAATTTGGTTTGCTCTATCAGCAATGATGCTGAGCTCTGTTGCGGTATCTAATATCCATCACAATATATAACTCACGTTACAATGTCAAAGCGGTACAATCACACTTTTCATCGCCCCGAATTTGTTTTGCTTTGTTTCGACAGATTTTTGTGATTTTTTTTCGGTTCTGTCTCAAACTGTAAAAGTTATGCATTTTTTCTCGATGCTGTCTCAGACGCTATACATTATGCTGTCTCATACAATAATCGTGGTTTCTTAATAAAACGTTCTTAATTTTTAATTTCATGCAGCTTGACGCCGATACCAGATTGAAGCCGCTCGTTCACTAATCGCGACAAACTAAACTCCAAAATTTCATGACAAAGTAAGATGAATGGTACGAACTTCTTAACAGTAGGTATTTAATTAAAATGATACTATCGATGAAAAAGGTTCAGTATTTTGTTATTTGATTACAACTTGCTATTTGTCGAAAAAAGTAAACACACAAACCGTCGCTGTGAAAATGGAACAAATTATCCAGAACTCAACGAAATAGGTTTGGTGATATGATTGAAACAACAAGAGTGCTGTGTTGCTCAGCAGGAAATTCAGTAATTCAATCTTCATTTTTGTTCCGACTTTCGATACGAAAGTAACGGAATATTTGTGCTCGGGGTGGGTTTTTTTTTTCTTCAGACAAATTTCGACTTCTTAACTAGCCATTTTTGACGGAATTTTTTAAATATCATTCAAAATTATTGTTGTCCTGAGCTTCAATTTGAAAAGATATTTCACCTGTGATCATTTTTCGTGAAGTTATGAGGGTTTAAAGATTGCCATTTTGGCCATTTCGACCAATTTGGGACAATTAACGCGCAATATAATTCGCGCTATTAACGCGTAAGCGGAGATTTTATCCGTCTTATAAATCGTTCCAAATTGGTTGAACGAAGATTATTTGCCATAATTGATTTGTTACAAGGAACGAAATCTATCTTTTTGTACTTTATATGGCGTGTGGGGGGATGATTTTCATATAAAATTTCAAATTTAAAAAAAAAAATTCATTTTTTTTTAGTTTCATTTCATTTTTTTATGTATTACTGCTGCTCAATAAACCTTAAAAGGCAGTCGGAACATTCAGGGCTTCGCCCTGATACGAGCAGTCTTGTTCAAATTTTAAATTTTCAAATATCGTTTCGCTGTGAATCTGGATCAGATCTTTGAAACAATAGCATTAAATTTTTGGAAGGCCTGAACATTGTTATTGTTCTGACTTTCGATACGAAAGTAACGGAATATTTGTGCTCGGGCGGGTTGTTTTTTCTTCAGACAAATTTCGACTTCTTAACTAGCCATTTTTGACGGAATTTTTAAAAATCATTCAAAAGGTATTGTTGTCTTGAGCTTAAATTTGAAAAGATATTTCACCTGTGATCATTTTTCGTAAAGTTATGAGGGTTTAAAGATTGCCATTTTGGGCATTTCGACCAATTTGGGACAATTAACGCGCAATATAATTCGCACTATTAACGCGTAAGCGGAGATTTAATCCGTCTTATAAATCGTTCCAAATTGGTTGAACGAAGATTATTTGCCATAATTGATTTGTTACAAGGAACGAAATCTATCTTTTTGTACTTTATATGGCGTGTGGGGTGATGATTTTCATAAAAAATTTCAAATTTAAGAAAAAAAAATTCATTTTATTTAGATTCAATTCATTTTTTTATGTATTACTGCTGCTCAATAAACCTTAAAAGGCAGTCGGAACATTCAGGGCTTCGCCATGATACGAGCAGTCTTGTTCAAATTTTAAACTTTCAAATATCGTTTCGCTGTGAATCTGGATCAGATCTTTGAAACAATAGCATTAAATTTTTGGAAGGCCTGAACATTGTTATTGTTCCGACTTTCGATACGAAAGTAACGGAATCTTTGTGCTCGGGGTGGGTTTTTTTTTTCTTCAGACAAATTTCGACTTTTTAACTAGCCATTTTTGACGGAATTTTCTAATATCATTCAAAAGGTATTGTTGTCTTGAGCTTAAATTTGAAAAGATATTTCACCTGTGATCATTTTTCATAAAGTTATGAGGGTTTAAAGATTGCCATTTTGGGCATTTCGACCATTTTGGGACAATTAACGCGCAAAATAATTCGCGCTATTAACGCGTAAGCGGAGATTTTATCCGTCATATAAATCGTTCCAAATTGGTTGAACGAAGATTTTTTGCCATAATTGATTTGTTACAAGGAACGAAATCTATCTTTTTGTACTTTATATGGCGTGTGGGGGGATGATTTTTATTAAAAAATTTTCAAATTTAAAAAAAAAGTTTCATTTTGTTTTATTACTTTTAATTTTTTAATGTTATTACTGCTCTATAAACCTTAATAGGCAGTCGGGACATTTAGGGCTTCGCCCTGATACGAGCAATCTTGTTATAGTGTGTGTTTGAAGGGAACATGTCCGGCTGGTTTTTCTAGGTACTAAGAAAGATCTTTTAAAAGATGAACATGTTCTAGCATCATAGAAAAATACTACTGCAATAGGATATGACATTTATGATCTTTCTTCTAGTTTTCGCTTCAGCACTGTAATTTAAGTTCTTGTTTAAAAAAATAGCTAAAACAAGAAAGCAAGTCCTCAAAATCTAACATTGCAATAATTTCACTAAGACGGATTAGTCGAAAATGAGTTCGGAGAAGATTTTGTAAAAATCAGAAGAGCAAATTAGGTCGTTTATTTCAAAAAAGATTGAAACTGAGAATTTTTTAAATTGAAACTAAAGCTCAGACTACACAACTCGTAAACACAGAAAGAATGATAACTCACACCCCCTACCTGTAATGGTCTGAACAGAAAACAGAATGCCGCATTGAAATACATTGTTTGCTATATTGAATTTGATTGTGTTGCTGTAATAACTTATTGCAGCAACACAACATTTTTAGTATATAATTCAGTTTTTGTCTCAATTTAACGACTTTCTGATTCGCAAAATCAGTTTCGAGCAAATTTCCCATATGTTGAATTGCCCGTTCACTCAACTTCTACTTGACAACACAAAATTTTAGCCAGAAACTTTTGTTTGGACGGACCTCTGAAACTGGGGAGAAATTTCGTCTTCGGAAGTGTTTTATTTAAGACAAAATTTCAAAAATCTTCCCACGAAAATCATCATTACAGTCAAAATTCGAACGACATTTCAATAACTCTGAAACTTTCAGTGTCAAAAAAAATCGAAATCGATTTTTTGCCTTCTCGTATAATTTTGAGCAGATACATTTAGCAGAGAGAGAACTGAAAGCAAACATTGAGACTATAAAATGATTTTAAGTGAAAATAAGCGGTTTTTGAAGCTTCGTTAGCATTTTCGAAAATACAATATTTTAAAAGTTCAAAAAATTCGGGTCTTATGCACTAAACGGCCCAAAATCAGTTTTTTTTATCTTGAAACGAAAATCATATTGTTGAATATGAGTGGGTAATTGGCCAATCATAATCAAACAGCATGGCCCGGCATTTCAAATAAAAAATTCACGCAGATAAAAGTATTAGCACAATTGATTGAAAAAATAGAAGTGTTTCTATAGCAGACCTCTGAAATTGGCGAGAAACTTCGTCTTCGGAAGTGTTATATTTAAGACAAAATTTCAAAAATTTTCCCACGAAAATCATCATTACAGTCAAAATTCGAACGACAATTCAATAATTCTGAAACTTTCAGTGTCATGAAAAATAGAAATCAATTTTTTGCCTTCTCGTATAATTTTGAGCAGATACATTTAGCAGATACAGAACTGAAAGCAAACATTGAGGCTATAAAATGATTTTCAGTAAAAATAAGCGGTTTTTGAAGCTTCGTTAGCATTTTCGAATAAACAATATTTTAAAAGTTCGAAAAATTCGGGACTTATGCACTAAACGGCCCAAAATCAGTAATTTTATATCTTGAAACGAAAAAATCTTGGTGTTGAGTATGAGTGGCTAATTGGCCAATCATATTCAAACAGCATGGCCCGGCATTTCAAATAAAAAATTCACGCAGATAAAATTATTAGCATAAATGATCTAAAAAACAGAAGTATTCTGTTGAAGTAATTTTTCTGAATTTTTCTTGTCTGGACATAGGCCTAGAATGTTTTTGATTATTTGATCAAGTTCAGTATGAAGATTTCGGCTACTAACTTTATCTGCCGAAACGGTGATTGAAAAGCCTGGCCGCGCTGCTTGCATTTGATTGGCTAAGATTAGCCAATCAGATTGGATCAGAACAATTTTATTTCAAGATAAAGCAATATTGATTTTGGGCCGTTTAGTGCATAAGACCCAAAAAAAGGTCGCATACTTTGCAAATTTTTGGCTTCTGAAAACAAAATGTCATTTTCAATTTTGATAGGCACTGCAAAAAGAAAGCAGAAATAAGTTTTCTAGGCAACTTTTGTTGTGTTTTTGTAATTTTGGAACATTCTGTGCTACTTGCGGAGTCGGCTATCTTTGTGTTTTATAGATTGTTTTGAATGCTGTCATTCCTGCGCTAAAACACATATAACATATACAGTTTTTTGCATAAACTTTACTGTTTTGTTTATAATATAATCATCATAATAAATTGTTCCAAACGATATTTAGTTACAGGCTAATTTATAAAATCTCATAAATACAAATTAGAGTCCTTTGGGAGAACACCATTAAGCCAGCATGGTGCAATCTTATTGTTTTCAAGTTTTCTTAATTCGAACTCACTTTGCTTAATTATTCTGTAGTAAAATCGTATACGACTTTTTAGGATATTAGTCTGTTCAATCCTCGGATCATGGATATCTCAAAACGGATAACGTCACCTTTGGGTCGGTAGAGGGTCAAATCCCTGAGGAAGAAAGAAATTCGTCTTCCAACCGGCCCCCTCCCCCTTAAACCGCCCCTGGATCATCGGATTAAAAACATTGAGACCACCTACGGTTTCTTTCGTACGGTTTTTTTCATACGATTTGGATTCAGTATAGTCAGTGGCGTGCTCAGAAATTTTTCTTGATGGGGGGCAATTTTCGATTTGATTTTCCAAGCTCTCTTAAAATACTATCAGTGAAAAAACAGGCTAAAATTACGTTATGAGCACTTAAAAAAACTTGACCAAAACATTGCCTTTGTTAGGCGCGCGCTCCCCCCTCAAATTTAGTTAGATTGGCACCCCCCTCGGCACGCTACTGAGTGTAGTGCTTGAGTGTTGGGTTTAACTGACCTGTGGTTTCGATGATGTCGATGAACAGCTGTTCTATTTGCTCACCACCTTCTTCCTCATTTCCTACATTTTCACTCTCCCATTTCGCCATCGTTTTTCAACCCAATATAATCTTGTTAACTGTTTCCCACTATGGTAACTAGTAAATAACTTCTGCGCCGATATGTACTAATTTACATTATTTAGTTCAGTGGTAGATTTGATTATTTATAAACTTTGCACCGCGTGATGAATTCCCCCTTTTCTTGCAAAAGATGGGAACAATTACAAAAACCCAACTAATGTACTGTGGTCACACTCTAAATTGAGACAGTTTTTAAATCAAATAAATTTCAAAGTTTCCCTATGGAACTCATTCTCATTTTTGTGATTTGAATAATTTCAATGATAAAATTGAACCCGAAAATAAACAATATCTATAATTTAGGTTAATTTATAAATAAACAATATCTTCAACAGGTGCTAGAAATGTTTCCTGTCTTTTTCTTGAAATTTTATCATGCGCTTGCAGATTGAATGCCATCATTTGACCCTGTGCGACTCTATGGCAAAGGTTTTCAATGAATGTAATCAGTTTCGCGACTGTCAGAGCGATATAGCAGTGGCTCGATGCACAACCAAAACCATATTTCAGTCTACGGATTTCAGATCCTTACTTTTATTGTAAAACAGCTGTTTTTCCGTCCAAAATTTGCGTTTTTTTTTTGAGAAATTGACGTTTAACTGCGACTGCGGGCGATTTTTAGCAAATTAAAAAGTTTTACGCTTGTGGACAAAATGAAACGCAAATTCACGATTTTACATTCTAAAATGCCTAATTTCAAGGACCATTTTGGACATTAAGTCAAAATTTTGAAGTATTTACATCGACCGATTGCAAAAGAACTACTTTCTCTGAAAGTCTAATTTTTGATTTGAAGCAATAACCAGTTTTTTCCGGGTGTAAAAGGTCAATTTTCACCATCTGTGACAAGTTTTCTATGGAAGTGAACTTTTTCTTCGAATTAGCTGAGTAGAAAAAGTTGATCATGCTACATAAATAAAATCATTTTAAACTAGATATTTGCCCTGTTCGGTTTGGCAATTTTTCTTAACTCCGTTGTTTTTTATAATTTCACGCTGTTAGAAAAACTCATCACGAGAGCTTCAAATCGAAAATTGAGACTTTCAGAGAGGGTAGTTCAGATCGGTCAAGGTAAACATTGTGTTGAAATGGTCCTTGTATTTAGGCATTTTAGGCATTAAAAAAAGGAATTCGCATTTGGTTTTGTCCACTAGTGTAATTTTGCGTTGTACTTCTGTGAATTTTGAAGTCATTTGTTGCCGCAATCAAAATGTTGCAAAAAGCAAAGTCATTTGTTGCCGCAATCAAGAACCGCAATGCAAAAATGCTGAAAAAGCTATATTTTGCGTAAACAATATGCAAACACATGATAAAACTTCAAGAAAAGTATAGAAGCGATTGTTAACATGGATAGCCGGTTACTGTGCAAGTAGCACGGAATGTTCTCCCCATGGTCTTTAGGAAACTACGATTTAGAAAGATTTTTTTTCCAAATTAGTGTAGTTTTTTCTGCTTGGTGTGATAAAAGGATCTGACGTAAAAAAAATAGGGCGTATTAGACAATAATGGTAATATAGAAAAATTGGAAAAAAATGTTGTAGAAAAATAGCAAGAAAAACTTTTTGCAGAAAATTTTTCAATTTTTTTTGAAAACTTTTGTTTCCAAAATGAACCCAAAAAACTCCAAAAACTAGTTTTACTTGTTTAAAAATAAGTTTTAAGGTCTTAAATTTGGCATAATACAGCTGTTGAAAGCCTGCTCGCTTGCTTTATTCGCTCAAATTAAGACGAAAAATCAAACATTCCAAACAGGTTTTTCTCGACACTGGGAAATTTTTTTGAAATGTTTTAAATGTGTTTTGAATCACGACTAAAAGGGCTTGAATTTGATATATTACTCAACCCAGCCCGATGATTATTTTTGTTTGTGGTATCTGGTTTTGCGTGGAAAACAAAAAAAAACTAAAACACACCCGAATTCAAAGTTCCTCCCCATTTTTCAAATGGTCGGAGCAAAAAATTGTTTTTTTTTTGAGAAATTGACAAAAACCACTGCTTAATTTTCTCTTAGCAAAAAATCAAGTTCATACGTTAATTCAGTTAAAAATTACAACTTTTCTAAAAATCTCGTAGGTTATGAAAAACCCTGTAGTTTGTTCGATCAATAAAGAAACTCAATTGTGAAATCTTTTTGAAACCCCTTTTGTAAAAAAAATTTATTGATATTACGCAAAATAATTCATCTGATAGTTTCCGTGCTTTCGTCTTGCAATTTGTGTAACAAAGTTATTGTGAAACTTATTTGATTTGAAGTCAATAAGACGCAATGATGAGATAAAGAGAGTCAAAGTTTGTAGATCTTCTTGAAAGAGCCTCGTTTTCTTGTTTCTTTGTAAAAATTATGTCAAATGGGCGTCGGAAAGTTTATCACTTGCTAACTGTTTATATAGATCAGAGTTACTTAGCAGACATAATCGACCCATCTAGTAAGTCATATTCAGGTTAAAGAGGATCGATATCGTCTCAAAAGCGCTTAGTTGGTGAAGCGGCCTGAAAGCAGAATTCATAACAACTCTTCTATTATGTTCAGCACATTATCAGATCTCAGACAAGATGAAATCAAAAATCGAACGGAACGCATCCAAGAGAAGAGCTGACAAAGTCTCAAATCTCGTTAACAGGAGCAAAAACGTATTTCTAGTTCAATAAAATTGAAGCCACATTTTACATAAAAACGACGCATAATTACTAAAATTGGTTTTTAAAAACGTTAAAAAAATTACCGGACCAAGCTGATATAATTTAAAAATTTAAAAAACATGCAGCCTGTCACTCAGCACAGAATTGAAGGAACGGAAAAAAATTTGGAAGAGACAAAGGTTGTTAAAATTGTAATTTGAATGAAAAAGCTAATTAAACGAGTTTAAAAATTGAGGAACAAATACAAGGACAGAAAACAAGCCAAAAACTAGGCGGCTTGAATCAGGGCAAACTCCTGAGAGTTCTATCTATTCTTGGTAAATTTTATTGTACTTTTTAGCAAAAAAAGTAAACATACTATTGTTTTTTATTTTAAATCATCTTCATACACGCAATTTCAAGTAACAAAGTTTTTTCTCATTATTTGTACCACTAGCTAACCTCAATTCAACTTGGAGAGATCTCCGAGCCAGACTAACTCAATTACGCTAAGAAAAAGGGGGCGGATCTAGGATATCTCAAAATAGTTCAAAGGGTGACTCTTTGTGTCCGCAGGGGGTCGAATCTCTGAGGAGGGGGCGTCCCCCCGCCTACTCCCCTAAATTCGCTGGTGCTACGCCTAACAAAAATTGTGAACTTAGCGCAAACTAAATATCCCAAAATTGAAATAGGCACTCTTCAAACCAGCTAGATAGTTTTTAAAATTGATGCTTTTTCAGATTATATAAATAATTCACGTAAACACCAATTTCCGTAATTTTTTCGAGAGTCCGAACTAAAATGTAACAAAGCTGGATAATACTATCTACATTTAAAAGTAAAATTCTAACTCATATAGAAACAAGTTAGTTGAGGCCATTACAATTGTTTAACCAGAGAAAAAATTATGCAAGAAAATTCATAAGGCTCCTTAGCGAACAACCTATTTTAAATCAAGAAATAGAAGCTATATAAAATTTGAAAGATTCTCAAAGAAATTTTAAAAAATTAAAAATTGACAACACACAAAATAATCTCAAATAAACATAAAAACGTTAAAAATTGACCACACCCAAAAGAGTTGAAAAAATTGCAGTCTTTCGTATACCAATCATCAGCTCCATAAAATGCCATACGTTTTTGAAGAATATATTGCCTTTTTTTTCATTTTGATATACTGAAACCAGTTTGAAGAACAGATCAATATAGTTACTTTTTATCAGCTGGTAATTTCAATCGTATTAAATGACTTTCGACTTCTTGTTTGAAAACCAAGAAAACGAGATTATAAGTTTGCAGCAATGAATGACCCAGAAAGTAATTTTTGAGAAAACATAAACAAAAAACAACGAAATCATAGTCTTATCTAGAAAAAATGTCCGGAAATTTTTGCTTTTTCCGCCTCTTTTGCATAAAATTCACATTCAAAATTACGATAGCCGGTTGATTTTTTTAACCCCCGGCCCAGCTCCCACCTTTCAACCTTGGACCCTTCATTCCTTGGGGAGAAAGATGTCATCCATTTTGTCGTCCCACCTTGAGGAGGCGGATGACACTGGGACCTCTTCAACCATGACCAAAGCAGGATGCGAACACACAACATTTGTGTTTAAGTAGGACAGAATCTTCCGATCAAATTCTCAATTTTATCTTAATGTTTTTCATGTTCATTGGGTGATAATAGAATTATACAATCGCCTTATAATTAATCGAGCTAGGCATAAATGACTAAACTGTTTTTACAAATAAATAAACGAAAAAATGCAATATTTTTTAAATTTTTTTTTGCATTTTTGTGCACTAAAACAGAAAAAAATTTTGATTTTTTTTAATCAGAGTTGAGCTAAATGAAGCTTCAAAATCTAGATTTCTTTTTAATTAAATGAACTTTTTTTAGCCTAAATTACTACTTTTCATATAGAGCGAACGTTACTCGATCGCTTCACTCGCTCGACATTTGACTAAAACTCAAAAATTTTAATTAAGTTTTTCTTTAAACTGGTACAAACTGTTGAAAGTTTTACCAAGTCGTTCTAATCACGACTGAAAGGGCTTTAGTATGATATATCATTTGAACCATTGCAATGATTGCTTGTGGTACTTGATTGTACGCGGGACAAAAAAAATCATTTCAATGGTCGGAACAATTAAGTTTTACAGACTCCAGGACAGAAGTTTGCTCGACTCACTGCGTTTAAGGACAAAAAACTATTGAGTTCAATTGGCAACCTGGTTGCATGTTAAACTATTTCACTTTATTCAAGTTTTAACACAATTTTTAACGGGATGACTCAAATAGTATGTAAAAAAAGCTGTGCCTGATTTAGTAGAAAAAAAAAAGAGTTTTCAAAAAACGTTTTTCCTCTTTGACCCAAATTTCAACTTGATAAAATTTACTGTTTTGGCTAAATCGGTAACCCTTGTTTCTCGGATTCATTTTGTCAACCACCCAACACTTTGTCCCATTAGTAGAGATTTGTCCAAAGCAACATTGAGTGCACCAATCGCAACTTCTAAGTAAAGAATCAACCCAGTAAAAGGTCTGCCGAACGCCATATTAATTCATGCAATTTTTTTTGCGTTTTTATTCAATTTTTTTTCCTCAACTCGACTTCAGGCAGTGCAGTGTATACTTTCTCGAGTTTCAAAATACGATCATTGTTTTAAAACACGATCAAAAACTGACAGTCCAAATTGACACTCCGAAAAATGACACTCAATATTGACACTCCAAGCATGCTTTGTAAGGCTAGGAATGGAATAAAACCTCAAAATCTCCAGAATTTAGGCTTGTTTAAAAAAACTATGTTAACAAAATTTACACAGAAGCAAATTTGCAACTTCGCAAACATAACCAAGAAAGCGGCAAAGATTCAGGAGCTTTGAATTGCAAAAATACTGTTTTGGAGTGTAAAAGCCACCGCACTAACATTGCATGCAATAAACTAGAGTGTATTAAATCAAATTGCGTAAAAATTATGCATTTCGAAAATCTCGCGAATTCTGAAATAGTGTTTTAAATATTATACTATTGTTTGAAACAAATAGCTTTTTCCGTTCAATTGACAAATTAAGAAAGCATTAACTGTGTTATTTTGCATCGTTGTATCACATTATTCTGTGATTCCATAAGTTTTTATCATGTTGTCTTAGCGAACACACACAATTCCTCCAGAGACATTATTTCTGGTGGCACAAAACGTAATGACAGACTCCTGTGAATTTTCAATTTTGATTATTTTTTCAGTTATTTTCGAATATCGGTAGAACTGAAAACATGTGAAACATTACATATAAATGGCAAGAAACATTTGAAAAATGACAAAGTTTTGCAATAATAGTAATTTTACACAGAGACGAAGCTGAACTTCGCAAAAACAAGCAAGAAAGCCGCAAAAAAATCTAAGAAGAAAAGCGTTAAAAGGCATTTCGCTTCAGGTCTACCTCAATCTGGCCAATTTCAGCTGAATAGTGGTACCCCGAAAAAGTTCTAGACCAAAGACGTGAAATTTCAGCGACCAAAAATTTCGCTGAACAAATTGACTCAGTCTGGAATGTGGCGAAATAATATAAAAAGACTACCCTTCGACAGGCTGGTCAGACCTTCTGATAGCTCCTCTTCGATTCGCAGGAACCACAATAATTACACAGAAGAGAAGCTGCGCTTCGCTAACACTAGCGAGAACACGACAAAAAAGCAGCTCTATAAAGTGAAATAAGAAAAACCAGAAATAAGCCTGGAATTAGTTTAAGCAATTGTACCTCGCGAGGAATTCGAACCTGAACCTAGAGAAAAAAATCTCAGCCACTAACGCATAGCAAACGGCAATAAAAAAAAGCAGACAATAGATGCTATGAAATTTCTAATGCTACAGGTCGTGATTATAGCAGTGTCACCAAATAAGCACTTTTATTTGCGACTTAGGTGGGAAAAAATAGGGTTCATACTAATAGACTACGCTTGCAAGCTGGCTAGTGTAATTGTGGTTACGATTATTATTACTATGATTTTTTATAATTATTGTTAAAAAACTGCGAGTACGCGCAAAAAGGATCCAAAAATCAAAACTAAAATATATGAACTTTAGAAGAATGTTGCAAAAATCATGGAAATATCTGCCGGGTAAGCCTACAGCGCAAGCGGAAATTCCAACAAGACCTCTATTTCGAGCGCAGGAATGGCATCTAAAAATCGTACAATTAACTGATACTTCAAGAAAAATCTCTGTTGCCTGAGCTAAATGTCCCACCCATAATCGAATCAAGCATCGGCGTTACCTCTCAAATGGAAAGAAACAATTATTCCATTAAAATTGATATTATTAGAAATCAAATTGAACTTCATGGCCGATTTCAAGGAAAAAACTTTAAGCGGAAAACGTCTTATACCCGATTTCAATACCCTGGCTAGTCGCAAGGGTAAACACGTTCTATGAAAATTGATGCGAATGAAAACTTCAATTGATTTGTTAACATTTGTACAAAATCTTTTTTACAGACAGACAATACATATTTACAGATAGCCAATTTTAGTTGAGATCACTGAAAAGTTTTTGAATCGGGCAGCTAGAAATCTTCGTCGGAAGAATCAAGATGAGAACCAACCCATCCTTTGGACTTACTCGGACTGCTCCGAACTGTTTCTCGACTTGAAGACACCGCTGCTTTTCGTTTTGGACTCCCATCCATTATTTCTCGCGAGGAATCAACTCGAAATGTATCATTTGCAACCGAAGACGTTGACGTTCGGAAGAAGTTCTGTTTTCTGGTCATAAAATTAGTCACACTTTCCGTGTCTGAGTCGCCAGTCGCAAATTTCCATTGAAACCCACGAGAACTGTCGACTCCTTGGTCAAAAACCACGCTTTCGTCATTTTCTAATTTCTCTGTTGAGTTTTGATGGCTCGCAGATTTTCTTTTTCCAATCGCTTCAAAATCCGTTTCGCCTAATTCATTCATAACTTTGGCACACCTCGAGCACACAGAAATAGTTACTTGTTCTTGCATTGTAATATCGTCTAATTGCATAATTGGTGGTTGCTGATTGGTTAGGATGTTCCAACTCTTCTTACCATTCCGACTTGGCTTGGAAGCTGCTTTCGGCACAATTCCATCGGCTATCAAGTCAGAATAATCTTCTTCTAATCCACTTTCGACGTTGTCATCGCTTTCACAACTATGAAGCAGAAATGTGTTTTCTTTATTACTGTTTTCAGATCTCAGCGAGTCCATTAAAGCCTTTTTGTGGCTTTCTTTCTGCATTTTTAAGGCTAATTTCTTAGAAGGATATCTAGATTGTTTATTTCCATCGCATGTTTCTTTCTTAGATTCGTTTGTTTGTTCTTCAGTTTCCTTTCTGAATTGTACAGGATGACTTAATTCACGTTCCAACATTGAATCTTCATCGTCGTTTGCTTCCGAAGTATCATTTTTGAACTCCAACTTTGACGGCACAGATGACCTTGCTTGACCTTTAGGCTCTATGTTTTGCTGACCTGGTTTTGTCTTTTCTCCGCCTGTTTTGGAGCCAATTTGTTTCGATAAGGGTCCATGCAAGCTCTTAGAAACAGCAGAATGAGTTTGGCTAGACCTCGACATGTCTTTTGCAGCTCTGCCTAAAAATCATCAAAAATCGTTTATAAATTACTCTACGGAGGCGTACAGAAAAGTTTGCTTTATTTTTGTGAATCATTATATTACACAGAGGCCACAGGAAGCTTCGCATCACTTGCGATAAAACAAAAGCGCAGACTTGCAAGCTAGCAAATAGAAAATGAGACTGAAAAAATCGAAACTTAAAAATGAAAATGAATTCAGAAAAACAGTCAAGAAAATCAACCAACAGCATTTAATAAGTTTTTAGTTTTTACCGAGCGGCCACCAAGCCGAGAACACGTGGGTACCAGCCCATTAAGCCGAAAACTTTTGGAACACAAACTAAATGAATCTTTGACCAAGGAAAATATACCGAACCAGGGCTATTAATTACAGGAAAAAATTACAAATTACAGAAAAAAAGCAAAAACACTTGCACGTACGATGAAACTAGCAGACATCACGAAAAAACTCCGCAATCTCTTAGCATTAAAACAAGGTTGGAGGGGTCCCAGTGTCATCCGCTTCCTCAAGGTGGGACCAGATGCGGCGAAATGGATGACATCTTCCCTCCCGCACGGTTGTTCTGGCATTGAGTAGGACCGGTAGCAATATAAGACCGCACTCAGGGTTACCAACTTGTCGCCGAAAATTAGTGACTTAATCAAAAATCTACCGAAACCATCTCAAAATGAACAAAAAACAGGTTTCCAAAGAACTAAAAAGACTTTGTTTTGGCCAAATTTTCTGCGCCACAGGCAAAATTTTGAAAGAAAACCACCAATCAAAGGCGTTTATTTGGACCAAAAAATTACGTTTTTTGGCGTGCGCTCCTCAAAATTAGTGCATATTGGCGCCTGAGGCACCTTTAAAAAAGTTTTGGGGTCCGTCAGCCAAAAATGGATATCTCAAAATAGTTCAAAGGGGGACCTCAGGAGTTTTAATGTACTCATGACTATTAAATAAAAATAGTGACCAGTAAAAAAGTAGAGCTTTTAGCGACCAATAGTGACCATTCACAATAATAGAGACCAGTTGGTAACCCTGAGAGCACTAATAAAACAACTTCAGTTTCTTACAGATTTGTAAGAAAAGGTGGTCACGGGAAAAAGTCTAGTCCCGATTATAAAATAATTGCTCTCGCAAGTGTATTACAACCAAACTGATTGCTAATGCATAAGTGTAGTTGGTTATTACACTAGTAGTACATAACTAGGGGCTACAAGAAGCTTAAAACTAATTATTAACAGCTTTTACTATTCAAAATCTTCAAAAAGAAAATGAACAGAGGTGAAGCGCAGCATTGCAGTACTTGCAATACAACGAAAATATTTTGCTAGAAACAGAGGGCGTTGAAAGTTTTTTAAAAATCAAGATGAAAAAGTAAAAAAGTAAAAAAATTGAAAATTAATTTGAAAAAAAAAAAATTAGAAAAAACAACACTTCCAAAAATTCATATGTTTGTGTTAAATGCAGTTGACAAACAGCCTTAAAAGCATTATGAATGAGAGATAGAAAGAAAGCCGAAAACGAAAGTGCGATCAAAAACTTCGAGCTATAAATTTTTAAAATTTTTTACGACCCATCCCTATTGAAACAGACAAAAGCACAAGAATATATTTTACCCTCAAAATTACGCATTATAGGTTGACAGGAAAGGAAAGTAGAACCACTAAAACCAAAGAAAACGTGAACATTTTCGAAGAAACCATAAGGAAAATTTTCAAAATGTTGCCTGGAATGATGTTTTATTTGCGGAAAACATGCCCAGAAACATACTCGATGGCATTCAAGGAAAATTCCAGAAAAAATTATCGAGCAAAAAAAAAATTCTGGAGGAAAACATACAAATTATGGCTCCCGCGAACGGCCCAAAATTGGGTTACTAAGCCGATAAAAATAAGCCGAAACTGTTTAAGCCGACAGGACTTTTGAGCACTACGTTCATTACTCTCAATAATAACCCATACAAGTTTCTGAAAATGGAATATTTCCCGTTTGAAAAAAAAACAGGTACTGGTCAGATTTGAGCCCAGGACCTTTGCCGTCCCAGGCGTAATCGTTACCTCCAGATAAATTATGCCGGAGGCGCTTAGAAAATGGAATTTATCATGAACCAAGACACCAAGTAATTAAGAAGATTCGATTAAAAATAAAAAGTTGTCGACCCAAAAAAGACTATATTCCGATTTGATAAGGTTTTCTAATCGCAAGCGTAATGACAGCATAAAATTAGGACGAGAACCACAAATCCAAAAAGTTCACCAATTTTTCAACTTATGTGAAACAAAAATTACTGCCTCAGAGGAATTTCAGCTAAATACTACCTTGATGCAGTTTTGTTAAGTATCAAGAAATTGAGCATGTGTAAAATTTGGCATTCCTACTAAATTGACCATTTTGTAAACAAAATTATTTACGGGAACCAAAATCTAGTATCCGGTTGCGAAACCCTTGCTGATCGCAAGGGTAATTACTATCCGTCGAGATTGAGTGCAACATGGTCCGCGTTCATATACAATATAAGACTAAAATGGCAAAAATGGCAAAAATGGCAAGCATCATCCAAGAAAACGTTTCCCAAATTTTCAAATGCAGCTCCAATAATTACTAAAAGTGTTACGCTATAAAATGACAATCGAACCCATCAGCCTTTTATTTCCGGTATCTGCATACGCGTGGGTAAAAACATCGGATTACGAAGCTCATTTACACTCCGCATCGGAACAATAACACTTACCTTGTGGTGCCGTTGCTGACTTGGAGGGTGGTCTAGTGGGAGGTGGTTTGGCTGCTGAAGTCAGTCCCAATGAGTCTGTTGTCGGTCTGTTTATAGACTTCAAAGTGAGCATGAGATGTCCAATGGGATCCATAGGTAGATCTCTCACCTACGTCAAAATAAACTTTTATGTTTGTTCCAAGAGCCATTATATCTCCAATAACATGAATGATTTTCGATTTCATTTGAAAAGTCAGAAAAATGATATTTAAAATGACAGTAAGATAAGTAAATTGTTCTCAATGATCTAAGTCTATTATTAGAAATGCGGAAGATAATTTTTTTCGAGAGATTAAACTGAAATTTATGAAACAAACACAGCCAACATATAGTTGGAAAAGAATCAATGAATGCAAGGAAACAGAAAACAAGTTGACTTACTTTTGAAAAAACTTTCGAATAGCAAAATTATTTGGACTAAACCCTTTGAATTAGGTCCATTTCGAATTAAGTCCCCAAGTCACTTCGAAAAAAGTGTATCAAAAGGTAAAGTTCTTATTCCGCAGGGAAAACTAAAATTTGAATTCCCTTTCGGAACTAGAATTCGTATTCCGCAGGGAAAACTAAAAATTGAATTCCCTTTCGGAACTAGAATTCGTTCACATTTTTTCAGCAGATGAGTTTAAAGTGAACTCAAAAAGTACGTACATACCCAGGGGCGTATCCAGGATTTTCTCGAGTGGGGAACGGATTTTTAAAAAATGTTCAAAAGAAATTTCAACAGAAATTTCAAAGAAATTTTGGTAGAACCTTTTCATATTTTTAGGTTGACCATTTTGATTTCCCTAGTTCTACCAAATCACTTAAAAGAATGCGCCTTAGACAATTTTTTTAAGAGCATTCATAAATGAATTGATATGTATGAATGCACATCTGTAGTTACTAGAGCACTTTAAAAATGATTAAAAAACGGTTAGTGCTAATTTAATACTAACCAGATTCTTCATGAGGTGGTCGAACACATCGCTGATGCGGTGCCTCTCCAAGTACAACTGCACTTTACTTCCACTCATTTTAATTCTGCTTCACCAAACAAAAGCAAAGCAAACCTAATCTGAAATAATCATACCTGAATCTACATTAAGTTACCTTAATATTTTAAGGTAAGCTTTTACTTTAAGTAATTTTATGGCATTATTGAGGTGAAACTTACCTTAATTATCACTTAGTTAAGTACTTCACCTTATTTTTAGAGTGAAAAAAAATGCAAAACCATAATGATTGACAGCTACTTAGCGTTGATCAAATCGTCAGAATAGCACTTTATGAACGATTTTGGTTCTAATCTTTTCACGGAACATGTTTTCCTCAGCTTCTTATGATTCTCAGAATCGCAGAATGTTTCTTTTAAAAATCTGATATATCGATTAGAAATTAAATTTAACTTTTATTTACAATTCATAATTCATCTATTAATTAAAGCAATCATATTTGTGTTATCATACTGTTTTACAAAACTCGACCACATATAGGTATTTTAGTAGCCACATCAATCTTTCAACCCTGATTTTTCTGTATAAATTATTCTTCAGTAGTTATAGATATAGGGATAGATTAGAAGATAACTAAATTCAAGTACAAAGAAGTTTTCGGTACATATCGCTCCAGTCGTCCAATAAAATGGGATTTTCTTATGGCCAAACTCCAATAAGCTGTAAATTCTAAGGATCGCCAGGGGTATTCACAAACGCAGCTGAGTGAAATAACAAAGCCACTACAAATTGAATTATATTAATTACAAAACCGCACCTGTAACGAATTCTGCAAATAGAAGCAACTAAAAATACAAAATTCATTCTAAATTCATATACTGAAGTTGGGATTTGAAACCTTGATTGGAAAATTGCGGATTCATTATCTATTCTGCCAATTAACCTGTCGTCCGTCTGAGCTTTAATGCTTGAAGTAATATGTTTCCATGTCGCCTTTGCCCTTGACGAAAACTTTCTTCCGGTAGACGAATTTCTCAGATTCCCATTTGGCCTAAAACCAAAAACACCTGGTCATGCATATGCAACCACAAAAAGCATGCATTCTCTACAAAAAGCTCATCGAAACTTTTACAGCTCATCGCTTTATGTTTGAAAACAAACTGCAGGAAATGGATATTATTAATTACCCCAACCACATTCCTCCTTGCAATGTGGAAATAGCTAGCATGGTCCTGGAAATGTACCATGACTACACCCCTATACACTTCGACCATGATTGATTGCTCGGAGGCTCATAATGATTGAGAGTTGGGTAGGGCAACAATTAACAGCGTAGAAAAATAGACCTAAGAATAGAGCTCAGGGCTGCTGATTTCCATCATTGATAAATAATGTTTCGACGGATTTCGATAATTACCCCCCCCCCATGATATGATTTTTTGAAATTCAACTTTGATTAGCAAATTATTGTATTTTGAAGTTTACAAAGTCAAATTTGAAATTTCAAATAAACAGTCAAAATTTTCATACGCAAAAATGTGCACAGGAAACAGTTAACCAGTTTTATTTTAATTCATTCTTTATGCAGAAACGAGTGTGAAAACTATTTCATCAGTTGGCCAAAACTTATTTTAAAATATACTATAACAATTTACCTCTATGAGTGCATTTTTTGTTCTCTCTGTCATCTGAAGCATGTTGCTGTCTCCCGTGCTGTACATTCTGCTGGAGACATTCACCGCATCACCCCAGATGTCGAAGTGCAGCTTGGAGGACCCGATCACACCGGCAGTCACAGGTCCATAGTTAATACCACCCTTCGAAATATATGTGGCCTGACCTAAAACACCTCGACATGATGAAGCATCGCTGAGGTGCTTAATTTCAATTCGTATAGACAGCAAAAAGGTTAAAATTTCTCAGAAACGAGCCAAAAACAAAAAATAGTTTTTTTTTCTAGCAGCTTTTCTTTCGAGTTATTGGTTGCTATAGCAGCTCTTTATTCAGCAGGGAATTTTGCTCCCTTCAAACATGACTTTCGCTTATTTTTAAGTGGAGCAAATCAACAATTTCATGGCACCTGGGATGTCTTGGCAGAACTCTATGAGTTTCTGCTTGAGTTCGAGCATGAAGTGCATGAGAGCAGACAGCTGCAGTTTCCAGTCTGCGTCATTGTAGGCAGGGTTCAAATTACTCGCAGCCATATAAGTCGACGAGATTGTCTTGATCTTCTCCACGTACCTAAATTGTCACAAATAGGTATTCAAACATGCTCGAAATCCCATTTGTTCATTCATACCTTGAGTATATGGGAAAAGGCACCGAAGAAAGTTCAATTCAACAAACGGAAAGTTGAGTAATTTGTTATGTTCTTTGCAGTACATATAAAAAATTGGGATCATGTTAATAAGCCCACCTCCACCCAACCCCCTCCTATGGTACCTAGTAAATATATCCACCCATAGGACTAATTCAGAGTCTAAGAATATACAAATTTCAATTTCAAGCCGTGTATCAAGATCCCATGATTGTTGCAGACATATTGATTGAACTTGTATGATTTATGCTTCGGCTAATATATATACCGCCATAAATTTTACCACCTTCTAATCACCTGGGCCAGGTAATGATAAAAAATAAAGTTTCAGTCTTTTGCTATGGACAAACGTCAGCGAGTAATTTTCATTTGATATGAACCTTCCAATATTAAAACTAAATAAATTCACATGATCGTAAATTTCATTTTTAGTGGCGTTCCGATGGGGATAATATTTATTATCCAGATTTTGACAAAAACTCGACCTACAAAAATAGGTTCAAAAAATTCTAAAAACCACCCTCCCTTCCAAATTTTTCTGTGAACAACACTGTTCACTAAATATGATTTCACAGATAAATCACGAACTTGTATTCGTCTTTGTCCAGCAACGCGTCGAAATCCGAGACCAGTTCGTTCAGCAGTCTAATGTACTCGGCGCCCGACTTGTAGTCCTCCGAGTAACTCGCCCAGAAATCGACGAAGAAGAAAATTATGCCGACATTATGCCTCGACGCACTGTAAACTCTAGTGTTTGTTTCGTTGAAATAGTCCACAACATATGCAGGCATAATATTTTGAAGTTTCGTCTGCGTTTTTTCGTTCATTCGAACCATTTCCGTTTTACGATCACGTTCTTGAATATCCGCGTGGAAATTGGCGCGAATCATCGTTTCGAAATCTACACTGAGCATCCAAACAAACACACACAAAAGCACGTATTGAAGGACTAATTCAACTCTAATCGGATGTCGGCCTGAGAAAACCGACAGAGGAAGTTGGATGTTTATTTCTGTGCCGTTCACTTCTATGGTTCTGTTTGAGCTTCCGTCGCAGCAGAGACTGTTGACATTGAGCGGAATAGCTATAATGATCGTAGAAATGAGAAGAACGAGAACTTTGACCAGAGTGCTTAGTCTAGGGTAGTTAGCAAAATGGATCCAGAGAAGAACGCTAATATAGCAGAAGTAGGGTGAGAGCTCGAAAGAGCACGTGGCGTAGGCTATCAAGAGTGCAATAGGTGCAAACAGCATGAGCAGTCCCGAAACATGGCAGGGAATCCACCCACTTACTATCACTGACAGAGACTCCCTGTGGCTCTCGCTCGAGACAAATATAAGATGGAACGCTAGAATCAGAAACACTAGTATTGAGATCACCACCAAAACTATGTAGAAGCTGACCGCCAAAGGCTCCTTGTGCACTACGCTGCTCACAATCAAGCAGAACGCCACGACTGTGTACAGAATAGCAGTTGGAAGTAAGTCATACACAAACGCAGTACACTTCAGATGTTCATGCGAGACTTCGTCCATGATTTTCTCTCGGAAGAACAATTTGTACTCGGTTTCGAGGGAGCCTTTGAACCACAGAGTGGCCAAGTTGATTGGGGTGTCCGTGAATATATGGATGCTGGTGCCTCTCCTCTCCAGTAGTTTGATCAGTTGTTCTTCGCTGTTGTCCTCGAGGACTCCTAGAGCTCCGGCATCCTGTTCCTTCTTCTCAGAGCCCTTAGTGAGTTTGTCATCTGTGGAGCTCTCGCCAGTTGTGGCGCCGGCCACCGCGATCGAAGTGGAAGCAGCCACGGAGTTTTTCTTGTCTACACCATCTGCATCTGTTTTCGATTCACCCTGTTGTGAACAGCTTTCCTTCGCTTTCTTCGACTAAAATAAACAACTGACTCAAACTAAAACTTTATTAAATTGTGTCTGAGCTGATTCATAGATTAAAAAAGCTGAGACATGTACCAATAAAAAAAACCTTTGTCATGGCCCTGTGCACTAATACCATAAAACTTCACAGAACACGGATTATAACTAATCGTATGACAACTAAAAACATAGCCAAATGACAGTTGGAAAAGAGTCAATGAACGCAAGTAAACAAAAAACACTGACTTGTTTTTTAAATAAAAATCTAAAATTTCAAAATTCAAAAAATGGATGCCCTTAAACCACTTTGAATTTCTATAACAATTTATGTTAAGCATTTTTTTGAGAAAACTCACCCAAATTGGAAAACTGGATCAATACGCAAAACTTTGATTTCACTGGGATATCTGATAATTAATTTCCATTTTCGAAACTAGAAGTCGATCGCGTTTTTCGTGACCTTTACATTTTTGCTGCTCGATAGTGGATTTTGCCTTCCTTTTAACAATGGAAAAGCACTGAACTTAAAAAGAGTCAAACAGCGAAAAAGTAAATTTAAGCCTGCAGAAATTTTAAGACTTTTCCGAGGAAAAAATCATCGTGACCTATATTAGAGTCTGAACAACGTTCGTCGACTTTTTAAAACACTTTTCTCCAAAAACACAATTCTCTATCTCACCGGCGATCCTGTATTGGTTTGCTGGTCATCTGATCCAAATTTCTTGCTCACCAGATACGTCTTCTTGTCTGAAACAAAACAAAATTCTACTAGAAAACGAAAATAAGAAATGAGTTGTTGTCCTTATCTTAATGAAAATGGATATAATCATCAATCATGCCAAACCGATATATTTTGTTTACTTGACTTAAAATTGCAAACGAATAGACTACAACTTTTTTTTCGACCTTAAAGACCATATATTGACCATACTTTGTAAGCTATGGACGAAATATTGCAAAAAAATTCCAAAATTGACAAATTAGATCGCTTTTTATCCACATTTTTAAAGCGCGACTAACGACTAAGCCAAAAAAAAACAATATGGCTGCATATTTATTAAAAAAAAACAGAAGAATCTTAGCTTTTTTCTGTTTTGTAACAGTGTCGTTTTCTATAGCTTTTATATTAAAAGGGTTGCACGTGGGATTAATCAATGTCCTAATGGTTCCGAAATTTTTTCAGTACTGAAGGTTCATTTTTTTGTCTTGCTTGATGCTTCACTGCATAATGATGTTTCAGCTCCACTAACACCTCTATCAATGAACCGTAGAAATGAAACGTACTTCTGAAAAAATCTTTGTTTAACGTCTCGCTACTTTCAGCGGACTGAATGCCAGGGAGCTGAAAAAGTAACTACTTTTTTAAAAACTTTTTTGCTCGTAATTAAGTAAAAATTGCACAAAAACGCAAAAACATAAATTTGCCCAAAATTGCCCTAAAAACAGCAAAATTTTTTAAAAAACCATAAACTGGAGTTTGTGTTTTGTGTTGTTAAATTTTTTAAAATCTTTTTTTGGCCGCCATAAAAAAATTTGAAAAATACTTTTTCCGACCAAAATTTTTTCTTTTTTCCCCGCTCCCTGCTGAGAATTATACTGACATGGTTTGCGAGACAGTTTCGAGCTCTTCTCCTCGTCTGGTTTGAACTCTTTGAGGACGAACTGGTCCCCGTCTCCATTCTTGTCCAGGGCCATCCGGGTGTACTCGGAGATGTGGACTGCACTCGGCTCCCCCGAGGACTCCATGTCATTGGCGATGAACACGTCATCCGACAGGATATCGAACTACAGAAAAACAACACAAATCATTTCACGTTATGGAAAATCGGGGAAGAATCATCTGCTCCATTTCCCAAGCCACTCACGATGGAAAAAACCCGAGTTAAATCTAATGGATACAGTTTGAGATCGCTTCGAAAATGTACCCTTTCTGGGTGTGTAGATTCGCTGTGACCAGCTCATGGTTGGATCTACGACGACCAAAAATAAATTAACGATTAAATTAAAACCAACATATTAAAGTTCAATTAATGATGACCTAATTTAAATAAATTATTTAAATTAAAACTAATTAATTAAAGTTTGATCTATGACGCCAAAATTAAAATTAAAAAGATGTATCACGCCTACGAAGTAACAAATGAAGCTTCCATAGCTGAGAAGGAATGTCTATTTGGTAAGTTGTTTCACTACGCTACCTCAATCTTTCCGGCGAAAGCAAAGGTTCATATATAGGCTTAAGATTTGAGTCTAGCATAGGAAAGAAGGAATCAATCGCCTATATCAAGAAAAACTAATATGGAATACTTCCAGTTAATTTCATTCTCCGGTCTGTTTCCTTTTAATTTTTTATCCTCTTAACTTCATTGCTTTTCCAAGCTCTTCAACCGCTCTTCGGATATATATTTCACAATTTAACCCATGATATTTCATCTGCGATCGTTTTTATTACACAGAGGCGAAGCTGAGCTTCGCATCACTTGCGATATAAAACATGAAAGCCGCTAATTCGGAAAAAAAATCGAAAATGTCAAAAAACTAGATCTATTAAAATGAATAAGGCTAATTTTGAAACAAAAACATGCCAAAGAATTAGCATCGGACAGACTAGACAAAAGAACTTGAAACTAACATCGGGTGAAAAATTGACAAGCGGTAACGAAGTCGAGAATACTTTATCAGAAACTCATCAAGCCGAAAAAAATCATGACTAATAAAAAGTTAAGAAATCTCCCTCGCCCTCAAAACACACATACACAAAACATTATTTGCTCGTCAAATAAACCAGAATGAAGTCACCAAGACGATATAATATAGTCCGAAACCTATTCAGCCGGAAAAAAAGGAAAATGAAAAAAAAAAGAAATAAAAAAGCCGGAAAAAATTAAGACTAAAAAACCATATTACGTCCCCCTCTGCCTCAGAACATACACACGCACCAATAAATTTTGAGGCGCACTATGAGGCCATTAAGTTGATGTAAAAAAGGCTGAAACATATCAAGCCGAAAAAAAGGAATAGAAAAAATTGTTGTCATGAAAAACTTGAACTATAATTTCTTTTGAGATTTTAGCAATTTGTGCAATCCAGAGGTGAGCACATAAAATGTTTACATTGAAATGAATCAAAATTAAGTCACTACGCTGATAAAATAAGCCGAAACTAATTAGGCAGAATAAAGGCTTTAAGCGAAAAAATATACCAAGGCGAACTCAAAATATACCTTGAAGCTAAAAAGCTATTAGTAATATAATAGTCTGTGTTAATATCGTTAACCTTGGCTGCACTTAATAGCTGGTTATTGATCTAATGTACATACTGCAATAAAAGATCACTTTCAAAATGTACAGTTTTACCCATTAAGTCAAAAAACGTCCATAGGCGCATTGCATTTATGCTCTGGTACTTCATCACTACAGAACCTAAAGTCAGCAGAGGCACACGCGAACCACGGGCTAAAATAAGTACGGGAAGAAAGTAATGATACCAACGGACTGTTGAAAAAGAATCAATGAATGCAAGGAAACAGAAGATAAACTGACTTGTTTTTGAAAAACTTCATCTTTCGATTTTCAAAGTTAAAAATACTCTTTCAAAAATGGCCTTATTGCTCTTTAAATTTCAAGAAGATTTCTTGATTGACCTTTTGTTGATACAATTGACCCAATTAGAGAAAACTGGATCAATAAATAAAGTTTTGATTCCGCTGGGAAATATAAAAAATCACGTTTTTTCGCGCCAATTTCACGTTTTATTCAGAGAGCAGATAAATTTCAATTCAACTCAAAAGTACATATATACCTTGGTGCATTTTAAATGCACTATTAAGTATGAATGCGAATGCACATCTGTAGTTATTCGAGCATTTTAATACTTATCGTGGAAAACAAACACAAAAAAAATCTTTCACTACGTTCAGTGACTATTAAAAAAGTATTTTACAGGAAAAAAGTGTAGTACCTTATAGTCAGAAGCGAACCAACGCCTAGCAGTAACTGTAAAACGGTAAAAAAAAACTAAGGAGTTCTGAAAAAAATACCTCTACAGGAATTAATCCTCTTTCCTCGGACATTCAAGTTTTCCAGTTGGCTTCCCTACACAATTGTGCCACTGACGCTTAAAGAAACAAAGACAAGGTGCAACACTGAATCTCAAATTTCACAAAAACAAAATTTGTATGCAATAATTAGGAATGTAATAAGCTAAATGCAACCACAATATTTTTGATGTAGAAAAAATATAACGTATAAAGCCAAACTGTGTATAAATTGTGTATTTCAAAAACTCTCGAAATATGTTAAGATTGAAAGTTTCTGATATCGAGTCTTCATTTTTATACTGTTATATGAAACAAACAACTTTTTTCGGTTCATTCGATGAATTAAAAAAAATGCGTTAACTTACTACCCAACTGTGTTTACTTACTACTAATCAAATGTCAAAGCACATGGTATTATCATGCTAATGCTGCCTTCAGCCTCAAAATTTCCCCGTTTAGCACTTTGACATTGGCAAAAGTGCCACCAAAAGAAGAACTTTTATTTGCGACTTAGCTTGGGGAAAAAGTAGCATCGTACAATCACACAACGCTGCGCGTGCGTTAAGACACTTGCTATCAATAGTGTACAATTAAGCATATATCCTATTCTAAAAAATTGGCATGCAAACACCAATTGTTCACAAAAAACTTTTGCCTCAAGGTCACCTGAAACTGGGTCGGTTGCAGGCAAATGTTTTTCCAAATTCGATTCCTTTTTTGCCTTACTTGTCTGTTCCAGCAGTTCGTTGCTTATTATCCCATGATTGCTGTGTCTCTGTGACTTGACTTACTTTGTGTCTTCTGACTCCAACAACTCCGCAGATCACTTTGCCAGTATGCACGCCCACCCTCATCTGCACACTCTGCTGTCTGTCTATGTCAAACTGGTGTATGGCCTGGATCATGGCCAGCCCCATGTTGATCGAACACTTCGCATGGTCTGGACGCTCCTACACGCAAAAACAACAGTCGCTTAAAACAAAATTACATCACCAACAAACAGTAATGAAATAATAAATAAACTGATTTTTGCTTCAATTTAATGGATTTTTAAAAAATTGTGTACTAAAATCTTCACATTTTATTGTGAAAGATGAATCGACATCGTCTTGATCTGTGATTGGTTTATTTGATTACTTATTTTACTTTGTTCATTGATTGGCTAGATTGTAAATAATTACCAGCACTATCTCCGTAGTCTTGAATTTGTAAATAGTTCGTTGAAGGAAGGAAAAGAGCTGAAATTAAAAGCCAAACCAAGAAAAATCAGATTTGAGCCTGAACAAATTTCACAATTTTTTCTGAAAAAACCAAAAAAAAAATCATAACTGCCTAAATAAGAGTCTTAACTACGTTCATCGACTCGTAAAAACTCATCTTGAAAAAAAATCATTCTTAATAAAGAAATCAAAAGTCTTGAACCGTAAATTATTTGATCACGTTTTCACCACTTTCATTGATTAGCTCAACTGTTGAGACTATATATCCACGAGAGAAAGGACCAACATACGAGCTGTACAGCTCATCACGGAGAACCGCTATTCAGCCCCTTCTTAAGAACAACATGCATTTAATTAAGTTAATTTGCTGAGCTGGGTAATGTTGCCTCGCCCTCAAGCAACAAGCACGGAACATGGTGGGCCTCGAACATCCGACCTTTCGATTGAGAGGTGGAGACGTAACCAAATCACCGCCGCTCCCCTTTAACTTAACTAGCGTGTAACGCACCTCCGATGCTTCGAATTTTAACAAATCATGAAAAAACGCAGATATTGAAATAAGATCGCAATCCTTTGAGTGTACTCTGAGAGCAATTACAGGAATGGTAATTTCAAATTTTGTTAAAAAAATTTTATTCAAGTTTTTTTTACTTAAATTTTGAAAAACCATAAAACTCTGTGAAGTTCTTTGGAACATATTAAAATGACATCAAAAATGACACATCTCGTAAAACAAAAGCAAATGAGCAGTCGCATTGCAATGCAAAATTTGCAACTCCTGAGAATGCTCTCACAGTACCCAACTACAGCGTTTGGAATTTCAAATTTTGAGAAATTTCAACTTGAACTTTCTTAAAAAAAAACTTTTTGAAAACTCCATAAAAAACGCCATATCTCAAGAACACAAAGATTTTAGCAGTCATATTTGGAGTCGAGATTCGCAAACTCTAAGAGTACTCTGACAGCCCCCAACTACAGGGTTAGGAATTTCAATTAAAAAAAAACTAAATTTGAGTTTTCTGTTAAAAATTTTTTGAAAAAAGATTTTAAAAAACGTCATATCTCATTAAAACAAAGATTTGAGCAGTCACACTTGGAGGCAAGATTAGCAACCCCTGAGAGTATTCTGACCGTTCCCAACTACAGGGTTAGGAATTTTGAAAAAATCACAATTTTTTGAAAAAATCACAATTTTTTGAAAAAATCACAAAAAACGTCATATCTGGAAAACTACAAAGATTCGAGCAGTCACATTATGGGGCAAGATTTTCAACCCCTAAGACAACTTCGACAGCCTCCAACTACTGGGCTGGGAGCTTCAAAACTTGAAGAAAAAAAAACATTTTTTTCTGAAACTTTTCAAAAAAAAATCACAAAAAACGTCATTTCTCGAAAGCTACAAAGAATTGAGCAGTCATATTTGGAGGCAAAATTCGCAACTACTGGAAGTACAATCGAAGAGCCTCAATATTGAGATAAGAACTTCAAATTTTGTAAAATTATTTATAACTAAGTTCTGTGAACAATTTAAATTAAGACATAACAAACGTCACATCTTGGAAGCTGAGAGCGTTTGGGCAGTCGCATTTGGACGCAAGATTTGCAACTTGCAGCTCGTGAGAGCATCTTCGCAGTACGAAACTACAAGGTTGAAAACTTCAAACTTTTTGAATTTTTTAAAATCTAAGTTTTCTGAGAAATTTTTTTTAAAAATCATGAAAAAACGTCATATCTCGAAAACTACAAGAATTTGAGCAGTCATTATTGGAGGCAAGATGCGCAACCCTTAAGACCTGAGAGTACTCTGACAGCCCCCACTATAAAAATAGGCATTTCAAATTTTGAAAAAAAAATTATATTTATATTTTCTTGAAAAAAAAACTTTGAAAAAACCTTAGAAAATGTCATATCTCGAAAACTATAAGGATTTGAGCCTTTATACTTGGACGCTAGATTTGCAGCCCTTGAATGTACCCTGATAGCATCCCACTATAGGGTTGAGAAATTCAAAATTAAAAAAATAAATTGTGAAACAAAAACTTTGATAGTTTTACGTTAACAATAAAGAAAAATATGTAATAGTTAAAGCATTCGAGCTCCAACAGATTTTGAAACGCTGACCTGAGTAAACTTTTCAACCCTTGCATTGTTTTGGCCTTTTAACAGTTCAACATAGGGACTTCTTAAACATGTTCCAAATGAAATTTCTTAAGCGTTTTAATATACGATATAGCTTAAACGTGAAAAAATTCTTTCGTTAAACATGCAAAGCTGAAACATGACGAGATAAGAAACCCGCATTTAAATATATAATAGATTAGCTGAAATTAATTAATAACACTATCTACCCTGGGGCATCCAGACACGCAGTAGTAACAATCTCCGAGAGTCGCAATCTTTTCACATCCAGTCTCCTCGGCCAGTCGGTCGAAGCGCCCGTAGAGATCATTCAAGAGATCCAGCAACTCCTCCGCAGTCTTGCCAGAACTCATGTTGGTGAAGCCCACAATGTCCGCGAAGAGAATGGACACGTTGTCCAACACCTCCACGTACAAGTCACGGAACATTTTCGACTGAAACAAAAATTAAACAATCAAACTTCAGACTGAATTAACGGTGGTATATAAACCAACCGAAGTATCAAACAGCCGAAAATTTGTAAGTGTTATTATATTACAGTTATGTAACAATTATGTATCAGTTACGAAGGTCATTCAACTTTTATTGATGTGATGTAACCTTTCGGCTGCTTTATATACTTCGCGCATTTTCGGTTCGTTTATACTTCGGCTGGTTTATTTACTCTCGAATTAACAATTGAAGCATTGGGTAGAAATTCAGTCGCTGACTGTGAAAAAGATATAGCTAACAATCACCCGCCCTGACTAATGGAACCAACTAACTTATCTCACCCCTCCAGAGACAAACTCAATAATAAAACAAATGTAATTTTAAGGCATTAAAACAAATCCTACATATTAAGTTAGTGGAAATGATTTTGACAACAAAATTAGGAAAAGTGAAAGAAAAAAATTTCAATACGTTGTATTAATCACATTTAAATTGTGGCGCTTGATTTAACTACTTCATTTAAAGATGCAGCTGCAATCAGGAGCGCAATTAGGGAGGGGAAGAGGCGAACGCAACCCCCCCCATCCCATTCCCAAAAGGATTCGACGCCCTCGCCAACCAAAGGGCCCCTTTTGGTAATATTTTATGACATATATTTCGGCTGACCAACCAAAAAGCCGCCAATATCTAAAGATTTTGAAGTCTAGCGCGCGCTGAAAAGAAAAAACGCGACTTGGTCAACATTTTGCCAAAAGGGCCCAAAAACGGCGTTTAGACCAGTTTTTTTCTCAAAATGAGGCTGAAAATTTTGTCAAAATGAGGTCTCACAGTGTTCCGGGACCACTCTTATGAAGACTCTAATTGTCGCGAAATAGGTAAAACAATATCCAGCAAAGACCCTATATTCTTCTGGCCTGTCGCCTATTATCGCGTACCCAGTTTGAAAGATAAGTTTACCCAAGCGACCTACATCGATAACAATCAAAATATTTTGATAGCTTATCCTGGGAAGTTTTTTTAAATAAAATAAGACAGTGACAAGCTCAAACTTATCAAATGACCTTTTCGCTGGCGTCCTCCTTGGCCATCATCTGTTCAGCCACCACTTTGGGCATGACAGAGTAAATTAAGTTCTTCATCTCCACCGTCTCCCGCTCTATCTCCTGATTGGCCAGAATAGCCCTGCCCTTCTTGTTGAACAACTCCCTCTTCCTGGAGGAGTAGTAGTGACTGAAGTGCACGCCCAATGTGTGCAGACACAGGTGCAGCAACAGACGCGTGAACAGAATCATCGGTCGGCCACTAAAAGAAACAGTTCAAAAAGTCAATCAATGAAATTTAACCCTATCCAAAACACAGGGAAATGAACGCTTTTTCAAACCAGGCCTTTTTAGGCTTTTGAGAAACCATACTGAAAACGCAACTGAAAACCTTTTAGGCGTGCACAGCCATAGCTTCCAAGTTTCATATTTGGCACCAAAAGCGCACTTAGAAAAACTAAAGAATCAATTGCCCATAAAGCTATTGAAACAGGAGCAAAGGGGAACAAACAGGAACAAATTCTCAAAATGGACAAAGCGCGTACTAAAGAGACTATACGCAACTATAAAACACATGATTTCGAGAAAAAATGGATAATTTTGATTTTAAGAATAGCAAAATCATTTGTCAGGCAAACATAGAACCAGATGATCCAAACCGAAGCTATCTTTATTTCATACTAACTTCTTTCAAAGATCTGTTCGTTCAGTATTCACTGAAAAAAGTTGTCCAACTTGCAAACTAAACAAGTGATTGCTCACCTCGGTTCTCCCTTTTGTGGAGTGTACATGAAGAAGTAGAATAGTTCAAAGCAGAAGGAGTAGAGACACCCGGCTGAGAAAACCAGCATCACCGGGATAGACATGACGGCATAGAGGAGGATGAAGATGAGGAAGATGGCCGACAGAGAAGATACAGGGTACGCAGCACCTGAAAAACAACAGATTAGATGAGTCAGTTCAACTTAACCAAGCACAAGTAGAGTTATAACAACATATTGTGGCACAACCTTAAGATTAAATTTACATTGTCAAAAAAGAAGTCGGTTGTTGCGCAAGCCGCACAGAATATTCCGATCTCAATAATCAAATGCAAAAAACATATAATTTTTTGCAAGATATATAAGAATTTTTTTTGTTATTTTCTGGATAGCAGCAGTGACTTAAAAACAAGCTCTAAATTGGCCTTTTGTACCTTATACAATTTTGAAAAACTGAAATTAGGCTGGTAATGAATCTCGATAAATCAGTCAGAAAAAATGTCAGACCAGTTTTTCTAACCACTATGAATTATTTGAGTTCTTTTTGGAATCTAAAGTCAAGACTGAAAGTACTTTAAAATGATGCCCTACGAAAGTTATTCTCATAACAAAATTTTAGGCAATAGTTCGTTCCCACCCCTAAGGCTCGTCGGAACAAAAAGGGGCGCGCCAGGTCTATACATGACTAAAACCCCATATGCCAAAATATACAATAAAAGACCAGATACCAGAGACTATATCCCACATAGAGAAACACACCATTTCCAAAATTCATACGAACACGAAAAAAAGAAACTTATTAGATAGATAATCACTGGATGTAATAGAAGACAACATCCATCAAAATAGATTTAGATTGGTTAAGTTTCATGACAATTATATTTAATTGCTGTTATATCATAACGAAACCTTAAAAATATTTAATTAAACTTAGTTCTGGGAAGCTTAACGGTCCCAATCTACGATACCATATTATTACAGCATTAGAAATTTGTAATTGCATAGATTGTTGCTGACCTCCAATGTACATTGAGTTCAGAGTCTCCGACTCGATCGACGCCAGAGTACACATCGGCATCACTAGCAGCACAGTGGCGATTACGTAATGGTACACGTGGAAGTTATACGAGTTGCATATGGGTAGAAAGGTAAGAAAGAAGAAAACTGCCAGGACTAGTAGAAACACAGCTGCTGTAACCACTGAAGCAGTAGTCCCGTAGTCCGAGAACATGAAGTAGAGTATGTAGGCCAATAGGTAGATGGATAGATAGACTAGGGCTGCACGGAACCTAACACAAACAATCACACCATTTACATAAATGGTACACGTTTCATAGCTGTGTTTATAAAAAAAAAGGCAAGAATGAAAAATGTAAGACCACAAATTTAATTAACCGAAAAAAAGCCAAACTAACTGTGTTTCAGTGGTTAAACTGTATTCCAGGAACCCAACACACTTGTGCCACAAAAAACTAAGGATATCGCAAAAAACAAGGTACTCTTATAATTACTCTTGTAAGTTTTCGAAGCTAAAACTTAAATTTTAAATTAGCTAAAAACTAACCTGAACAGTTCGGCACTGAAGTAGCTGGACTTATATTGTGTCTCCATTCTTGGGTTTTTGAATTTGGGTCTCAGCAAAGAGTGATCACTCTCCCCTTCAAACATGATCGGTGCTAAAATTCGCTTCACGTTATGCGCCGCCGACTCGAACGAACCTCTCTCGGTGCTCTCTCGCTTCGGGACAGCCGCAGAACTGCCGTTCTCTTGTATGTCTGCATTGTCATTGGTTGCCGAGAACTTCACTTCGACGTCACTCGCTGCTGCCGTTGCCGAATTTTTTCTGCTGGACTTCTTGTCCTCCTCCATCAGCTTGTCATCTTCTTTCGGTACGGGTGTCTCTTCTGGAGAATCTTGTTGCAAACTAAAAACAGATTGCAGAAGATTACTTAAGAAAAAAATCGTGAACATAAAAGTACAGAAAGTCGGGACTTCTAAAATTGGCCTTTTTGATACAATTCAACAAAGTGCTTCAAAAAACCTGATTTTTTCAACGCAGACATACTCAATGAGAATGACATGAAACAATCTAATTCCGATAAAAGAATATAGCAAACAAATAGGAGACCTTTGGGAACAAAAGTAATAAAAATGCATAACAAAAACTGATATAAAATCAAAACTGATATGTAAAGTAAGTTACATAAAATAAAACTGATGAAAGTATATTGCGAACAAAAATTTTTGACTTATAAATTAGACACAATTTCAGAGGACCAAATCAATGTTTCAGAAAATCAATTCTCACTTTGCAACTTTAGATCGAACATTGAAATTGAATTCTGCTTTAAGAATGTTGCAGAAACGCCAAATGGGCGGTACAAAAATCAGCCTAAAAACATAAAATACATGAACTGAACCTAAAATTACCATTTATAATTTTGACCATTCTGTGAACAAAGTAATTTACGGGAAAAAAATCTCGTAAGCCATTGCAAAACCCTTGCGTATCGCAAGGGTAAAAATAGCCGACACAGTTAGAAACGAGTCGATGAATGCAAGTAAACCGAAAAAAATACTGACTTATTTTTTTAAAACTCTCAATTTTTGAATTCCTAAGAAAACAATAGATGCTCTTAAAGCAGTTTGAAATTCGACTTTCGAAAATTGGAATCGATGTCGGTTTTCGTGACCTTTAAATGCTTGCTGTTCGATAGTGTATTTTAACTTTTTTAATAAAGGAATTGCACTGAACTTAAAAAGAAACCGAAAGTCAAACCGCGAAAAATAAAGTTGAGAATGAAAACATTTTAAGATTTTTCCAGAAAAAAAGTTTCCGAGTGTCGAGAAAAATTGCTTTCAAATTTTTAAGTTTTAGACTTATTCTTTCACTTCAAGTTCAGCCGGTTAAATTTTATTTTATTTCAAGTTTTCGAAGACTTTTTTGGCGCCTTCTTTGAAATTAATAGTTTTCAATTTTCTATTTATCCATTCATTTTCAAGTGAAAAAAATTTCAAATACAACTACTTAAAAAATAGTATCGACTAAAACAGAGTTCTAGGCTTTCATTCATATCCTCTCATTCAACCACGAATAAAAAACACATTTTGAAACACTTTTTTTATTATTGTGGTCGGAACATTCTGAGCTACTTGCCCATCAACCGGTTATATTTGTTTCGATTGCGTATTTAAACCAGAAAAAAAATTAAAGGGGCTTTTTTAAAACAAGCCAAGACAAATTGAGGCACAGACAGACGCTTTAACAAAAAACAAAGAAAAAATCCTATTACCTAACTTAAAATGTAATTTTTCCAAAAAATTTGAACATGAATCAAAATATGAAAATTACTATTAAATACTTTCAAAAAAATGTCAAGAAGAAATTCAAGACAATGGCGACGCTGCACTACACAAACATAAGCGAGAAAGGAGCAAAAATTAACTCCAAAAATAGCCGTAAGCTTGATAAAAGACAAACATCAGCCACTAACAAAAATCGAGAAGGTTAAAATCAGCCTTGAAAAATATCACTTTTGCTAGGTCCCGGAACCGAAACGCCGATCTGTAGATTAGGAGTCTCACGTCCGGGAATTTGCGCCAGTTCTTCGACAATAAGCAAACACTAGCCACAAAAAAGCAGAGAACTGATGCTATAAAACTGCCAATGTTGTGCATCAAATGCACCAGCAAAAGAAAAACGAGTTGCGTTGAGAAAAACTCGATTCACAAAATAACAGTACGCTCAATAATTTGTTGTTGTAACAAAGAAACAAACAAAAAAACACTAAAGAAAAAACTCATTTGAAAAATAGTGAAGCCGATAACAATAGCCGATCTTAATTTTTCGAAAAAATAATTCGATCAGACAAAAACCAATGAGTTAAGACATACTATTCGCCCAATTTCAAATCGAAAACACAAGCCAAAAAAAACGAAACAAAATATTCTAAAAAGTGCCAATATTAAGCAGAAAAAGCTATTCAGCAAAAAGGTCACATGTGTTATTTGCGAGCAGTGTAGGAAAAATTTGGATTCCTACAGACACTACGCTCTTAAACTCGCTTGTAAAAACAAACAATTATCACTGCCATAAAGGTGGCCGAGAAGGTTGAAAGATCAATTAAAAAAAAACAGTTGCTCTGCAAATTTTCCCAACACAGATATCTTGAAAAAAATTCAACCTTCTTTGGTTCCATTTGTACTTAATTTATGTCGTGTTTTCTAGAAAGGATGATGATAGTCGGTTCTAAAGCTGTTTTTTACCTTTACAGATGGATAACAAATAACTTCGATATCTGTTTAGTTTAAAAAACGCAGACCGCACAGAAAACATGACCCAGAATGATTCACGGATCTTTATAACAATGTCCCCCTTTCAAGAAAGAGAGGGATATTGTTAAGTAGATTAAATCAGCGGAGTTTCGGCCAATCAGAATGCAGTAAAATTTAAAATTTAAATAAAAGGGTGGAAATTCTTTAGTAGAACCTGATTCATCTTTGCTCTGCATTACAAGGGAAAACTGCGAACCATTAATTTCTTAACACTGTTGACACTTTTCTGAATCATGACTTAAAGCGCATACAAATGATATAACACCTGGAACCATCCATCTCACGTTTATCAGTAGTACCTGAGTTTACGTTAAAAAACAGTCAAAGCGATGAAACACACTCGCTGATTGGAACAATGATTTTCGACTGTGAACAGACATGTACACAAGTACTAAACGATTTTGTGTAATTTAAATAGGCATAGGAAATGCGATAAGATAGCATGATGAAAGAAATACTTCAGTGTTTCAAGTCCTCAGAGACTTTGTTAAGTTCCAAGTGAAATGCAGACGCCGAATGGCATCACAAGAATTTTGATTTATTTCGGATTTAGAAGTCTTAATAGCTTCTGTTAAGTAAGATTGAAGTGAAGATGTGTGCCACCCGATTGGAAAGTATATAACTTTCAATTTTCAAGCTTAGATGAAATGAAAAAACTCACCCAATAGAATTGCATGAATTTTGAATCTGAGGACCCATGTTTCCATGTTTAAAGTTTTCCATGTTTAAAGTTTTAATCGTTTCCATGTTTCAAGTTAATGAGAGAAAAAGCTGACAAGATATCATACATGATAGCATGACATATAATTTGGTTCAAAGTTTCAAGTCTCAAGAGCATTTTTACAGCTAAAGTGAAACAAGACTGCTCGTATCAGGGCGAAGCCCTGAATGTTCCGACTGCCTTTTAAGGTTTATTGAGCAGCAGTAATACATAAAAAAAATTAAATGAAATAAAATAAAATGAATTTTTTTTTCTAAAATTTGAATTTTTTATGAAAATCATCCCCCCACACGCCATATAAAGTCCAAAAAGATAAATTTCGTTTCTTGTAACAAATCAATTATGGCAAATAAGCTTCGTTCAACCATTTGGAACGATTTATAAGACGGATTAAATCTCGCTTACGCGTTAATAGCGCGAATTATATTACGCATTAATTGTCCCAAATTGGTCAAAATGGCCAAAATGGCAATCTTTAAACCCTCATAACTTTACGAAAATAAATCACAGATGAAATATCTTTTCAAATTTAAGCTCAGGACAACAATACCTTTTGAATGATATAAAAAAATTCCGTCAAAAATGGCTAGTTAAAAAGTCGAAATTTGTCTGAAGAAAAAAAAACCCACCCCGAGCACAAATATTCCGTTACTTTCGTATCGAAAGTCGGAACAAAAAAATCAAGTGAATTGTTTTAAAGTTTTGGGTCCGAAGAGCCATTCTTTAAAATAAAGCCGATATGGTAATAAAACTTAAGGTTTATTTTGAATTTCAAGTCTTAACAGCTTTAGCTTTTGTTAAGCTGGAGAGAAAAAGGAAACCCGGTAGGAAAGCGCAAAAAATGAATCATTTCAAAAATTCAAGTCCAAACGGCCATTGCTGAAACTGAGTTGAAAAAAATGCGATATGGAACCACCAAAAATCAATTACTTCAAAGTTTCAAGTCCCAGGATAAGTAATTGGAGTTTGTTGCAATGCAAATGTAGAGTATAGAATGTAGAGTATAGATGCATATAAAACTGAACTAAAATGTAACAACAATAAGCACAGTTGGCCGAGCGGCCTAGAGACAAGTCTCTCACGCCGGTCAACCGGGTTCGAGTCCCCCCATATGCAGACCTTAAAACATGTAGACCCGAGGGGCTATAGCCCCATTTGACCGTTTTTTACTGTTTTTTTGGTTCTAATTCGGTTCAGCCTTGATTAAGGTTGACCGCCAAAAAGAGCAATTTGTCTCAAGGACATTACCGACCGGTTCTTGTGGCTAGCTTGCGCCGTTTTGTACCAAAAACGGACAGTTCAGAATTGAAGTTATATGATGTTATGCTTGACCAAAATTATGATAAAATATTGATTTTTCTGAGAGTCTTTGCCGATAAATACTCTTTATAATTCAAAGCATTCGACTTCATAGTTTTACCAAATAACGGAGATTGAGCGCACATTTTGGCGCCCCACAAGGGACACGAGATCGATGATAGTTCCCTTTCAATTTGTTTCTCGGACAGTTTTCCCGACACGAGTGTAGTTGGCAGAATCCCCAGAGTTGTACGAAAGCAGGTGGCTCAAACAGAGTGCTGTCGGTCGGAATTCATCTGTTGCGGCTTGAAGAGGGTCTGTAGCGGATTGCACAGCATCTGTTGCGGATTGCAGAGTGTCTGTAGCGGATTGCAGAGTGTCGGTTGCAGATTGCAGAGGGTCTGTGGCGGATTGCACAGCATCTGTTGCGGATTGCAGAGTGTCTGTAGCGGATTGCAGAGTGTCGGTTGCAGATTGCAGAGTGTCTGTGGCGGATTGCAGAGCATCTGTTGCGGATTGCAGAGTGTCTGTGGCAGATTGCAGAGTGTCGGTTGCAGATTGCAGAGTGT